AGCTGCTCTTTCTATATTCTAGAGATTCCCACAACGTAACAGTTTATTCCAACACGTTTCATTAAAAAATTAACTATGTTTTCACCTTAGGTAAGGTATAAACATTCACAGTTGAAAAGAGTTACCTTACAAATTCCACCTTGCCAGTTGTCAACAAATAGTTGAGGAAATATTCCCAGAACCCATATATATTAATTTACCACACAGAAGCATTCCTGTTCTGAGATCAGGGACGAAGATCTTTTAAGATGCATACTCCCCTTCCCTTTCTTAGCACTTAAAGCTATTTGAATAGCATAACAATGAAGTGTTTTGCCCACTGGAGAAAACCACTGATTTTAAAGTTTGTTTCACAATTGCAAGTTTAAAAAAAATTACATAACAGGATAATTAGACATACTTACAAGTTATAGTATTTCAGTTTCAGAATGTTGTTCTGAGGTTTGTACTGCCATGCACAATATAGGCAGTGCAAAAAGCTTCAATTTCTACGGTTTTCAGGTAAAAAAAAAAGGTTTCCGGATGAGTCTTGCAGTATATACACCCTAGTATTTGCTTTGTGAAAGCCAGCAATCCAAATATGGTGTAATTCAGAGCAGAAAACGGACCACCAGTGTACTTAAGAAAAGCCAAGCGAAACTTTTTCCCCTGCAAACAGACTTAATCAAGTTCTGAAGTGGCTTTACTTTTCAATTTTGCAATTGTCTAGCATTGGGAGATTGGCAGGAGGGCTCCTAAATCATGGTTTCCGCCCAAACAGTTAAGCTTGTATGTTAAGTCGTTGAATCTCCCCAAACTGCATTCAAAATTCATGTTAGCAGCCAGTTTCAGGCAGAATTTGCGATCACCTTTTTCCCTGTCTTCCCTCATGATCAGAAAACATTTTGCTAGAATAGTTCACTGCAGAAAAGTGAATTCAAGTAGACCAAAAAAAGGGACATACAAACTGCTTTTTTGCTTTGTACATGGTAGGCTAGTGATCTACTAGTACCAACATTATGAAGTTCTAGGTCAGTGTGGAGCAGGGCTAATTAAGGTAGTTTTAGCAAGCACCAATGATTAATTTCCAGAAAATGGCAGCCAAGTTTCTTCCTCACTTCCTCCCAGAGCAATGCAACCATTACAAGATTTGTTGCATGACTGAAACAACTGTCTTCATTGAAAATAATAATAATAATAATAAATTGGGGAAAACAGGGATAAAAGATGAGCAGAGATGGAGCAAATAAATTACCCCGAGGTACAGATCTAAGGTGGCTCAGAAATAATCCTGTCTTCAAGACAGCCAACATCCAATTAGCAGCAAGGCCTCTGCTCAGGGATCAGGCTGGGAAGGCGAGGGAGATGCTCACTGCCACTTGTAGATTTTCACCATCTTCTCGGTCAAAGTAGCAAGGAAGTTGTTGCGATTCACCTCAAAAGGACAGACATCCAGCACAGGAAGATCAGCTGGCAGTTTCTGGAGCAAAGTCCCGCTTCCTGCATCCCAGATCTTCAGGATGAAGAGAAAAAAGCCGTAATTCACCGCATGTCTCACTGGGCAAGACATGGTTCCACAAACTGCAATGCTTTACAGGAATTGCCACTTCCTAATAAAGCTACCCTCCTTTCCTGTCCCCTGATAAATGGTTTTTAGAAGAGTTCAGACTACAGCAATAAAGACCAAATAAAACAGAAAAAACTAGCAACTAGCCTCCCTCTCTTCTCACCTCTAATAAAGAGTCCTGCATGTGTGCCTCACAGCTGAGTTCATCCTTTTCCTCCCAGTCTCCTATCTCTAAGGAAATAAATACAGAGGACAGGCAGCTCCAGTCCCAGCTCAGGGTTCTGCTACACAAGAGGCTCTCTAGTGGCATGGATGTATGTTGTGGCAATTGCAACACACTTGTACCCTCGGCTCTATCACTCCATGCTTTTTGTGACTTACAGTTGTGGAAGAAGAAAAACAATCAATACCTAAGACTACCAGCAAAAGGCAAAGTTCCTATCCAAAATTAAGACCATACCATGGCAGACGTTGACGCTTCATCCCCCGCACACACAAGGATGCTGCCGTCATCTTCCGGACTTTGAAAAATGGCATTTTTGGTTAAGAGTTTGCACGTTGGACCAGCAATAAGAGTTTGAATGGGGTTGCACGAACAGACCATTTCATCATCTCTGTCTGTCAGCTGAGTAGATGTCAGCTCCATCACCACACACTGCAAACAGTTGTTGTTTCTGTCTGTGAAAGGACGAAATTGAAAAAAGTTACAAAGTCGGAAAGTATCCACACGCAACACTGCAGAAGCATTTAAATGAGATTCCTGGTTGATGGATGTTTTGACTTCCTTAAAATGCTGCTTGTCTGCACACTGAGATCATTGCTTTATTCTACTCTGAATGCCAAGGTGGGGCTTAATGCCTACTACACAAGTGGCGTTAGTAACATTCTCTGTAAGTTTGCTTGCAAAGCAGGATTCCAAACTGGGGCAAAAGCACAAAGCTCTGTCTCTACTGGAGCCATAATTCTTAACATTTCCAGGCAGTGAGAAAGACATGTTGACAGGGGATTCTGGGACTGTGAAGGATGCTATGTTGGAAGAGGAAGGGATTGTGGCTGTGTCTGAGGTGGAAGCAATGGCCATGCGGAGAAAAGGAGAGCCCAGGCACGTACATTAAAGGAACTCTGAAATGAGTCTCTCCTCCATCTTCAAATCTTTTTTAACTGACAAATAGGAGGCAGCCAGAATAGTGGCCAAAATGTACTACCAGCAATGCACTGCAGTCCAAAGTCACCCTCCTCTTTATAAGTAACAGAACCCACCATGAACAAGTACTGTAAAGAGAGGGGTTACACCATCTGGTTAAATGAAAAGGGAAAGGGAGAAAAACAGAACGCTCTCCTGGGGAGGATTCTGTGTCCTGATTCTATGCATCCGCTGGGCCAATCCTAGCCCTGAGCAAAAATATCCATGGATGACAACTTACTGGGCCTGAATGTTGCAAGGCAGTGCCGTGTGTTGGCTTCTGTCTGAAGGTTAATGCAACCTCCGGATTCAAGGAGGAGATCGTGAGGTCGGTAGGAATTGCTAGACTTCTGCTCCCAAAAACAGGCTCCTTCCAGCGTTCCAGACACCAGTCCACCATATGGTAGTGAGGTTGAAGCCATTCGAGGAAGATAAGATAAGGATACCACAGGACACCTGATGGGGCGTCAAAAAACCCCCAGCAAAATCAGTATTACCAGGCCATTCTCTCTGGTTCCCTACTCATCCTAAAATGAAAATCTTTATAGGAATGTTTAAAAATGATTTCAAAGAGGGATGAAAATTAGAAACCATCTGACTTAATACAAATGTTGTTAAGACTGAAATCCTCTGCTTACTTCAGATTAAGCATTACTAAACATTGTAGAGATAAGGGTGACTTGATTCACATGACTCACAACTGCTCAGAATTGCCACAAGGCGCATTAATGCAGAACTACTACAAGCAGGATAAATGTGCTCCCCAACTGTATCCTCACTGTATTCTTTCCAATTCCCTCCCATGAGAATGCTAATCTGTGCAGTGACTTAAGAAGTGGAAATGCATCTATGGCAAGATTACTTCTGACATTAGCTCGTCTGAGGCCCTTTGCTCTCATCAGTTGGGAGTTTATATCCAGTAAGGAGTTTATATCCTGTATCCAAGTCTTCCAAGCAATTCTTTGTCAACAAACATGTTCCTAGCCTACAGCATGAAGGGTTTTTCAAATAATACACAGCCTTAGAAATGAACTTATCACAGAGATATTTTAAAATCTTCCATGGTCTCAGTTTAGTGTTTGGAAAGTAAAGTTATCTTATGAAACCCCTACCTGGACCTCGGTGGAGCCAGTTCCTGGACGTGGGCGTTTGTGTCCCGCAGATCATAGACTAGGACAGATCCATTAGCCAGCCCAGCATAGACGTAGTTGGTGTCGTCAAGACACCAGCAGCAGGACCAGATGGGGCGGCTAGTAATATAGGTCTGTACAACAGTGTTTGTGGTTAAGCTGAGAGAAAAGGAGAGAAGAACGTCTCAGTATTCTGCGCCCATTCATACCCTGTGCCTCTTCCCTTGGCCCATTCCTATTCAACAGCAATAATGGCTACCACGCAGGCTAGGAGACCATTTCCCAAAAAAGACCACAGGCCAATTCTGAGCCATGCAGGGAAAAGCCTCTTCACTACCAGTAGAATCATAGGGCTGGAAGGGAGCCTGAAGGTCTTCTAGTCTAACCCCCTGCCCAAGATAGGAGTCCTTATACCAGCGATGGCGAACCTTTTAGAGACCGAGTGCCCAAACTGCAACCCAAAACCCACTTTTGCATCGTCGGGTGCCGGGTGGGTGTGGCCCATTGGCTGGGCGTGGCCAATTGGCTGGGTGTGGCCCATTGGGTGGGTGTGGCTGCAGTGGTAACGGCAGACCGGGTGGGGCTAAAAAGTTCAATCAATCAATTCCAACTTTGCAAGATCTTTTTTTTTCCCCATGAGAAGTTGAAATTGACTGATTGAACCTTTTTTTTTTTTTGCACACGGCGGCGGAGGCCTAAAGCGAAAAGGTTTTATAAAACCCAGCTGAAGGCCTAGGACTGGGGCGACGGTGCGCGTGCCCACAGAGAGGGCTCTGAGTGCCGCCTCTGGCACCCGTGCCATAGGTTCGCGACCACTGACTTATACTATCCTGGAGAAATGACTGCCCATTTTTTTCTTAAAAACCTCCATCGATGGAGCACCACAACTCCAGGAGGCAAGCGATTCCACTGATTAATTGTTCTCACTGCCAGGAAATTCCTCCTTATTTCCAGGTTGGGTCTCTCTCTGACGAGCATCCACCGTTTCTTTCTTGTCTTGCCCTCAGGTGCTGTGGAGAATAAATCAAGCCCCTCTTCCCCTGTGACCGCCCTCCACTATTAGAAGACGGCAATCAGGCTTCCCCTAAGCCTTCTCTACATTAAGCTAAGCGTACTTAGTTCATCATGATTTAGCCTCCAGACCTCTTATCATCTTTGTTGCTCTTCTCTGCACACTTTCTACAGTATCAGCATCTTTTTTTGTACTGTGGTAACCAAAACCGGACGCAGTATCCCAAGAGTGACTTCCCTAGTGCAGTATACTGCTATCACTTCACGCAGTCTTCAAACGATCCCTCCTTTGGTGCCGCCTAGGATCCCATTGGCTTTTTTGGCAGCTGCAGCACACTGCTGGCAAATACTTCACCTGTGACCCACCAGGACACCTAGCTATGCCTTTGGTTTTTCTTCCCTAAATGCAGGACCTTACCTTGCGGGTACCGCGTTTCCCCGAAAGTAAACCCTACTCAAAAAGTAAACCCCAGCAGATTTTCGAGGGATGGGCCTAATATAAGTCCTCCCCCAAAATTAAGCTCTAGCGCAGGGCGGGGCGAGTCGGTCCAGATCTTCCGTGCAACCGCCAGAGCGCCTCCCCCCCCGCCTGCCAGGGCCCTTCGCCAGCGGCTGCCGGTGGAACCCTCTCCGTCCCACCATCTGCTTGCCTGCGGCCGCAATGAACCAAATCCTTGACAAGCCCCGGCCTCCACCGCCCTGCCTAACTTCTTCAGATCTCACGAGAAACTAGAAAGTCTGATATTTTTTTTGCCCCACAAACACACAGCGAAGGCTGAGAAGCGAACGGAGAATCGCAATGCAGCTGAAAGGCAGGTTAGTAAAAAAAAAATGCTTGGGGAGGCTAGGGTGTCTGGGCAGGGGGTTTGGTTTGTTGTGGCCGCAGGCAAGCAGACGGTGGGACGGAGACGGTGGGGCCGGCGGTAGCCAGTTCCACCGGCGGCGGCTGGTGAAGGGCCCTGGCAGGCCGGCGGGGGGGGGGGTTGCTCTGGTGGTTGCACGGAATATCTGGGCTGACTAGCCTAGCGCCAGGCACGGCACCCTTTCCGCCGCCACCCACCACGGCCACACCAGTACCGTTCCTGGTCCGCCACCATGCTCTCGCCCCCACGCTGCTTCTCCACCCCGTGCATAGCCCCCGCCCTACCACCGCACGCTCGCGGCCTACTGGTGCCAATACCGGCAAAAAAGTAAGCCCTCCGCAAAAGTAAGACCTTTGGCTTATTTCAGCGCCCGAAAGACAGGGTCTTACCTTCGGGGAAACGCGGTACTCACCTTGTGAGCCTGAGCGAGTTGTCCAAAGAAGCAGATAAGAGCAAACCATCCGCCCGGTTGCTGAAGGCCAGGCTCCGGATCTGCTTGCTGTGGATGGGGACGTACTGGTTGCTCTTCAGGTTGACGGCGCTCATCATCTTAATTCCATAACCTCAGAAGAGAAAAGGCCAGTTAGCAGAATCCTCCCTTCCCTCACTTGGTTAAGGCAGCCGCCAGGCATTCCCACCCCTCTTTCTAGCCCCAAGGCCTCGCTTTAGCTACTGACTCACCGGGAAGGAGAGTCCTTTGCGGAGAGGGCTGCGAGATCACCAGGCAGCTCAGGGGGTCACAGTAGGCCATCACCCGGCAGTTGCCCATCTGAGAGACCAGGAAGGCTTTCTCAAAATGGTACTTGTGCTGACCCTGGCTGGAGGAGAGGCAGCCGGGAAAGCAAGAGCCAGCACTGCTGGACGGCTGAGAGGAGGAGCTGGCGCCGTGCCGGACCAGCAAAGCCTTCAGCTCCTGCAGAAGGGAAGGCAGAAGGGAGCGTTAAGTCGAGCCCAGAGAGACAGCTGCCTCTGCCTCAGTCTTCCTCAACCTTGCCCAACTTCAACCCCCAAATTCTCCAGCCAGCATTCTGGGAGCTGAAGTTCATACACCTTACGGGTGGCAAGGTTGAGAAACGCAGTTCTACATAAAGGGCATGGTTAGGCCATGAGAGGGCTAGCTAAGCCCCTCCAGACATTCTTAAGATCAATTCTCAGAAACCCCATCCACTTAATATAGACTAGGTTTGTGGAAATTGCAGCCCAGGGTTTCAAAGCACTCAATTTAACAAATCTTCCAAGTTCAGGGAAAAAAAAGAAGAGAATATTAGATTAAGGTTTAGAGTGAATGGACTGAAACAGATCACGTTTAAAGGAATCCATTCCCCCCCCCAGCTCAAATCCAACAAATCTAATATTATTCACTATGTGTCAGTGAACCATCCCCCCAACTAAACAATCGTTTGCCTAAATTCAACTTCTGAAAGAACGAAAGAGAAAACGCTTCCTTGCATTCCTCTGCCTTCTCCCCCTGACCCCAACTAAGATCAAGAATCCTCAAGCTTTCTGCATAGCTACGCTTTGTGAATTTCCAGATGGATCACTTCTCCCTATTTCCCCAACTTCCATTTAAAACATAGTTGCAAATTACCAATTTAAAACAGGCTTCTTTTTTTCCCCCAACAGTAAATCCCAGATAAGGGCAATATATTTTATACATCTCTTATTTTGTAATGATCCAACTTAAAGGAGGGTTGTTTTTTTTTGCCTAGTCAGGAAAACCCTAAACAAAGGAGAGTAATTTTGTTAAGTTGTAGATGAACTTTCTTCATTAGTTAGACTAATGTTTGGGGCCAGCAGTTATAAATGTTAATGGATCGTATTTATGACCATTGCTGTGTCCCAAGGTCGCCTTTTGTGACCTTCTGACAAGCAAAGACAATGGGGAGGATTCAGCTAACAACCCTGTTATTAACGTATTTAACTACAATGACTCAATTAACTGAGGCAAGAAAGGTCATAAAATGGGGCAAAGCCCACTTAACAACAGAAATTTTGGGCTCAGTTGTGGTCATTAGTCCAGGACTTCCTGAATGACTGCAGCTAATCTTACCTGTACTTGCTGCTTCAGTTTGCTACACTCCACCGTCATGACCTGCAGCTGAAGGCGACTCTGTGCTGATTCTAGTTCTACTTTCCTTCGTAGGACTTGTTCCTTTTCTAAAGAGCTACGACAAAAAAAGGGACAGATCTGGTTAGAATTTTGGATGGGAGATCCCCAAGAATTCCCAGACTGTAGACTGGATTGAAAAACTGAGAAAACATCACAGAAGGAGGCACTGACACATTATTTTCCTATGGATTCCAAGATGACAAAGTCCCAGATCTCAGGGCCTCAGGCATCCAAAGCCATTCGGTCTTGCCAGGGTTCAGTCAAAGCCTGGTATCCCCCATCTAGGCCCCTAAAGCCTCATTGAAACGCAAGGAAACAGTCTGAGGGAGGCTGCGCTGATCTATTCTGTGCACAATACATTTCAATAAAACATTCTTTTGGCCTGATCTTCGACCATAAATGTACGTACAGTTTCCCGTAGGAGATGAAGGTAAACTAGCATCCATACCTTTTCATGTTTTCCTGTTCAGTGGTGTCCAGTGCTTTCAGAGTACGGGCATAAAGGACAACAATATCTGCGCGTTTGGCTTTCTTATTGCACTAAAACAAAACACAAAATGAAAGTGAGTCACTTTCTGGCAAATAATCTATTGCTCAGTTATGGAGGTTTGGAGTAAGAACACAGAATCAAGTTGTATGTTTACTTATCATCAGGGTAGCAGTTCTATATTTTTCTTTACGTTCCTGGATGTCCTCCTGTGTGCTACTCATATAACATCCTTCAGAATGGAACTTTTGTTACTGTGCCAACTCTGCCTATTAGTGACTAATTGGTCACAGAATTCAGGCCTTGAGAGGGCTTGGGGATATGGCTGCCACCCCAATGCATTTTTTTTCTTTATTTGGGCTCTTCTGCTAGTGTCTGTGCACTTTTAAATGACTTTGTTAAATTTACCAAGAACCTTATGTTAACTTTGCTTGTCAAAAGATTGCAAAAAGTGATAACATGACCTTGGGACACAGGAATGGCCATAAATATAAACCAGTTGCCAAGCATCTGAATTTTGATCCCATGATCATGGGGATGCTACAAAGATTGTAACTGTGAAAAAAATGGTCATAAGTCACTTTTTCAGTGTAACTTTGAACGATCACTAAATGAACTGTTGTAAGTCGAGGACTACCTGTATTTAAATGTACCATGAAAAAAATAGCTGAAGCCAAAATATTCTAACACATTTAGAATGTACCAGTAGCTGAGCTAAGACTAAAATTGTTGTTTCACTTGGCAAAAGTCACTTAAAAACCCTGCAACTGCTCTCCTTAACTTTTTATTGCCAAGTCTTTCTTGCTAAAAGACTTTTACCTGGGGGCATTTGCCCACTTGGCCCTTCAGCCACCTCTGAATGCAGCTGTAGCCAAAGAGGTGCCCACAGCGCAGTGCAGCGAGACGATGCTCCCCAGCATTGGTCCACTCTTCGAAACAGATGGCACAAGTATCCCCACTTTCCTCTTCCAAAGGAACTAGAGAGGCCACCGGATTGCTTTTCTTTAATGGAGTTGTCTGGAAAAAAGAAAATATGGAAGGTAGCTCAGGTAAATGAAGGCCCAGGTATCCAACTTCACCTTCTCTCACCTTCTTTGGCTGGGAAGCAGTGACTCTAGAATCAGGATGCTCTATCTCATTAGAATTATCTCCAGGAGGCTCCATTTGATTTGAGACAATTACTAAAAGGAAAAACAAAGGAATACTTCACATAAGGAAAGCAAAACTTATCTATATGAAAGTGCAGCCCTACCAATAAGACATTTCAATTTTAAAGAAGAGACAAAAAGAATTAGCAAGTTATTTTCATATAATTCAAAACCACAAAAAACTCAGGCATAAGCATATAGAGTTCAAGACAGACTTAATCAGACTATTTTACATACAAGTTACATACAAATATACAAATTAGTAACAGATCATTACTGCACAGTAAAGGCAATGCCAGACCCAAAATAAACTGTCTTTGCCCAAGACTTTTAATCTTAGCTCAGCCAATTTCTTAGAATTCCTGGATACAAAATATGATCCATCCTATGCAACAGGAGACCTAAAGCAAGAGCGACGTTTATTAGGTTTGGTCAAAACAGTCAAGACGGCATCCACAGCAGACTAATCAAAGTTCTACCTGTTTTTAATGTGCAACGTGAGCAGAGCTTCAATTATGCCACTGCAGCCACCGTTGATTGTTTTGAGCACGTCCTGTGGACTGAATAAATAGACTGAAGCTCATGAAAATGTCACACCAATAAACAGATTACTCTGATCAATGATGGGCAAGGTGTCCGGAGTCATTTACGTATATTTAGATTTCCAAAGATGCACAAACAATGCAAACCTTCCAAGCCAATTAGAGGTATTTCCTCTAAGCTTCTTGCCGGTTCCTCCTCGTCCTCCGTGGGGTTGCTGCTGTCACCGCTGCTCTCAGAGTCACTCAGGACCACTGTTTCATCTGAGCTGCTGTCATTGTGGATTACTAGAAGTGACGGTTCTGTTGCTTGGGTCCTATTGACCTGGAAATAACTGTCCAATGATGCTGTGGATCTAATCAACACAATGCAAATGTGTGTATTAGGGTGATATCAGGCGCCTCTGCTCTTCGGATTCTAGCCCCCCTCGCAAAACGTGAGATAAAGCATCTCCCCTGATCTCAGCGACTGAGCCCTGCAGACTCCAACTCCCAGAATTCCCCAGCCAGCCCAGCAGCGGCCTTGACGCGCCTGGACTCCAACTCCCAGAATTCCCCACACCTTCAAATTGCCGAGATCGAGAAGGGCGACGAAGTATCAGTCCCATCCCAAAACCCAACTGCGGAATTGCGCGTTCAACCCCCCCGAGGTCACCCACGGAGCGTCCCCGGGGCTCGGCCTGCCGCTTCCTCCGGGGGCGTCTCCGTAGGCCCGGCTAGCCCGCCCAGGATCCGTCGGGTGGGGACGGGAAGGCCGCCGCCAGGCGGGGGGCAGTGCGCGGGGCCCGCTGCCGCTCACCTGGCGCGGGCTGCCCGTTGGGAGGAGGAGGACGACGAGGAGGCGGCGGCGGCGGCGGAGGAAGGCGCTGCCCGAGGCAGGCCGGCCAGGTTCCTCCGGGAGCGGCGCCGCCTTCGCGACTGCGCAACCAAGGCGTCCCGAGAGGAGCGGGCACCCGCCGGACGGCGCCCCGAGGCCCCGTCGCGATCGGCCGCTGCGGACGGCTCCCCCTCGGCGGCCTCGGCCACGGGCGGCAGGTCCACCTCCATGGCCTCCTGCGCCATCGGCCTCCCTCAGAGGAGCCCCGCCACGCACGCGCCGGCCAGCCGCTCAATCCCCCCGCCTCCCGCCCGCGGGGCCCCCATTGGCCCCTAGGAGGCGCGCGAAGGCACGGTTTGATTTCTATTGGATGATATCCTACAACACAGAGACGCTGCATTGGCTCCCTCGACCGCCACTCTTCTCGGTAGGCTGGGAGCGTAGAGGGGAAGGGGAAGGAAAGGGGGGCTTGGAGGACGCGCATGCGCATTTTCAAGGCCGGCCGGGAACCGCTCGGCGGCGGCTGCTGCGGTTAAAAAAAAAAAAAAAAAGTGGGTTTTTCAGCCTGAGGTGCGGGAGTCGCCCTTGCGCGATTCAGATCCTTTGGGCATGAAACGCACCGCTAGATTTTTTTTAAAAAAAAAAGACACTGGAAATAAGATAGCATTAGGGGGGGAAACCGCCTGTTTCAAACAGCAACATTGAATTATTAGGGCAGTGATAGCGAACCTTTTAGAGACCGAGTGTCCAAACTGCAACCCAAAACCCACTTATGCATCATCGGGTGCCAGGTGGGCGTGGCCCATTGGGTGGGCGTGGCCAGTTGGCTGGGTGTGGCCCATTGGGTGGGTGTGGCCTATTGGGTGGGCGTGGCTGCAATGGTAACGGCAGACAAGGTGGGACTAAAAAGTTCAATCAATCAATTCCAACTTTGCGAGATCATTTTTTTCCTGAGAAGTTGAAATTGACTGATTGAACCTTTTTTTTTTTTTTGCACATGGCGGCAGAGGCCTAAAGCAAAAAGGTTTTATAAAACCCAGCTAAAGGCCTAGGACTGGAGCGACGGCGCACGTGCCCACAGAGAGGGCTCTGAGTGCCGCCTCTGGCACCCGTGCCGTAGGTTCGCCACCACTGTATTAGGGCATTACAAGACAGAAGACAGAGAGCAACGTGTAACAAGAAAGGAACTGTTATTTTATAGTAGTGAAGGAAGACACACACACACACACACACCCCTCTGATAGAAGACATCTGGAGGAAGGAAGAAAATTTAATCACAACAGTTTAAATCTTTCCAAAGTAGAAATAAGCCCTCCCCCCCAAAAAAGAATTAATTAAATCACCAGTCCTTTTTAAATTAAAACAAACACTCTGTCGACTCTAGCTCATTTTCAGAACCCACAACCTCAAACAACCCAAGTGCAAACAAACAGCTACACAACTTGAACAAACATTGAAGATAAGCTTAACTACAGGAATGCAGGACCGCCTACCTGCAATTAAGACTGATAGGATTAGAACAGAAACACAGAAAAATACATAAAATTGTTTAAGTGTTGTAGAAACATTTGTGAAGATAAAAATATTTGAAGCTGCATTTTGGCTTTGCAGCAAGCTAAGTGTCGATTTCTTTTAACTGAAAGAGCATAAAAATAAATACCATGAGATGGGGCGTCTATTTGCTGACTGCCATTGGCAAAAGAGTATTGGGGAGGGGGTTTCAAGAAATTGTGGGGGGTTTGTCCAAATGTGACTGAATTGGGCAGTTACAAAGAGTTACGGAAAACAGAAGTCAGTCATTTTATTTCAGTCATTGACCAGCAAAACAAAACGAAAGAGGCACAATTGATTAGAGTAAAACAAGCCATAAAATCATCTATGTACTACTAAAACTCCCTTCTGTAACCTTTAGCTGGGTGAAACTGTGCATAAAGGCAAAACCTAACGAACCAGGTACCTCAAATGGACTAACTTATAGAATACATCCAAAATCTGGCAGGGCCATGATTCCTATGGAATTGAAATTTGGCAAATTTCATAAAATATTTGATGACATAAAACTTTCATAAAGCACATTGTGACCTAATACAAAATATCATAAGACGTTTCCTGTGGTCCACTGCTGACGTTTGACCCAGCTACACTGTTCAAGACGGGCTACTTTCAAAGCAGAGACACCTCTGAATGTTCCCCAACTTTTGCAGTGAAGGCAGGACATTAGAAATTCTGTCATTATTGCAGGCCTTGAGGAACCTGCTAAGGGAATATCTCTGAAAGGAGTTAGGATGACCCCAGGGTTGTCTAGTAGTGTAACAATACAAGTAAAATTGCCAGTTGAAGTTAGGAATTTGGGATGTATAAATTAATATAGTAATATATAATACAATTTATACCAGGCAACTAAATGGTTGTAATAGCAAAAAATGCCCATTTAAAATATAGAGAGCTGTTAAAATTAAAACCATGGAAAAGCTGTGATTAATTATATAACCAGAGAAAATGTAGTGATGTAAGGTATAATGAAGAATACATAAGGAATTGTTTTGGTTTCAAAACTAAAAGTTAGAGCCCAGTTATAGTATAGGGAGTCCCCAGTTGGGGACCATTTGAAGTTACCACAAACCCTCCAACTACTTACAATCTGATTTTGCAGTCCAAAAGCACAATCGCGCACACACACATACCATATGATCACATTTTTGATGCTTGACAATACATTTGTAGCCATTTGTAGTCTCCTGAGATCACGTGACTGCAGTTTCCAGCATTTATTTCGGGTTGACAACAAATGCTCATTAGGTATAATGGATTCATTTGCTTAACAACGGTCGCACAAAAAGTTGTAAAATCAGGCACAGTGACACGGTGACTCATTGAACAACCACCACAACTTACGACCTTGCTTCTAGGTTCATTTATGATCGTAGGTCGAGGACTATCTTTATAACGACTATATTGTGAAAGATTCTGGCAGCCAGTGACATTAAGACAAAAATAAGATTCAGTTGACAGTAAAGATATAAACCATTAAAGTAGAAACAAAATGGACAGCTGCATTTGAAATGTTTCCAAACACAAAATACTTGGGAGGTGTTTGAAGTCAAATTATGGCAAATGGTATAAAATATGGGACAATTTTTGGCTGTAATCATTGAAGGAGAATCTGATTGGTCTGACAGAAGCAATCTGAGCTAGAAAAATCAGCAATCAGGACATTTGGTGCTGAGCTGGGCTAGTAATTTCTGGGGAGGATCCACAAAGAGGGAGCAATGTGATACAGGGAGTCCTCGACTTACACACAATGGGAAGGGGACAAGGGAGGAAAATTAGCTAACAAAAGTCGGCGTGAACTCTCCGTTCTGGCTTTACACAAGTGCAATTCACTTGACTTCTAGTAAGCTACACCTTTCTCAACCAAAGGACTTAAGGAGCGGTTTTACTTAGAAGTCCAGGTTGAGGCAGGTCTGACATTGCCATTCAACATCTGGGGGAGAGGGTCTCCTTATTTGCTACCCCGAACCCACCACATTTTGCAGAGCCAATAGAAGGTTTGGGTTATTGGCCAAGCTGGCTAGTGGTTCAAAGATCAGACTGAGCCAAAGAATATTGAAACGTGGGGGAAAAAAGAGAAGGTTCAGGTGATAGAAGACGTCTTCCACGATCACTGACTTCCATTCATGAAATCATTGTTACTGCTGTCATCCTGGTCGATGAGGAGCTGGTTCACAATAACTGCAAGAAAATATATCAGTTTTCAGAAACATTCCTACCTCAGTTTTGTAGCTCAAACTTTGAAACACAGGGGCATTCGTCTGATTAATAAATGAGTATCAATTCCATCTTTGCTAGCGTCATGGCTGCCGTTCTGCTGAGCTACGCATCATATTTGTGATGGTTGCAGTGTCCCGGGTGTCACGTGATCACCTTTTGTGACCTTCTGACAAAACTCATTTCATAAATGTCTCACTTAGCAACAGAAATTTTGGGCTCAATTGTGGTCGTAAGTCAAGGACTACCTGTATACTTTTGGCTAAACATGGACCAGGAATCCTTCTTTTCTAACTGACCACGTTGGGACCGTTGACAGCTAGTGAGATAAGGAAGGGTGAGCATGGAGGAGTACTTATGTCTAGATTCATCTCTCTCCAAGTGCCCCAATATTGGTGCGCCATTTAGTGTTGTGTTATATATAAAACTAGCTATAAGTTATGCCTCAAACCATAGCTAAAAGCAAATGATGGCTTACTGAAATTTGTGAACCCAACCATGTAGCCAAACGCCTGATGCTTTCTCATACCTTCAGTAGTTGGGCGCTTGGAAGGGTCATAACTCCGACACTGGTTGATGATTTTCTGTAAATAGGGTGGACAATCTTCTCCTAAAGGCTCCTGTACCTTTTTCTTATAAACCTTCTTATAGATTTCTTGAGAGTTGCAACCTAGAATCCCAACCAGAGAGGTGACAAGAATTCACATAGACGTACGTACATATGGCTTGCCTCCAGAAATTGTGGGTGTTCCATCACTGGAGATTTTCAAGAAAAACCATGGGCCATGGTGGTCACTTTTGGGACAACCATGACTTGGATGATTGAGAATCTCCAGAGACATTTTACTGTTGCCTTCTACCCTTTCTACTTGGATTTTTCATTTCCAAGACTTCAGCAATGTCAGTAGATTTTGTTGGCCACACTGCAGAGATCTTTGTAAAGGTGAAATAATAGGGGGAGGGTGTGTGCTTAAGCAATGCCCGGCTGATCATCTTCTGCGATCATCCCTCCTAGGATGTGTTGAAAGATGGATCTTTCCTGACTGTTGCAAAGATGGGCCAGACCTGCCCAAGAGGAAAAAGAGCAGCAGATGTGGAAGAGAAACAAGCAGGAAAGCAATGAATCACCCCAAACTGTAGCTAGCTGGTCTTTGTCTCCTCAGATGAAAAGGAAGTTCTAGGATCCTCTGTGCAGATTCACAAAATCCAACTTCCTCAACCCAAGATCTGGGAAGGTCCTTGACCCAGGTTTCACTTCTATAGGCTGTTGATTCAAAACGCCTCCATTTTAGGAACCTCCAACGCAGCCAATCTGAGCTGCTCTGGAACCGATGCCATGTCCCTGGACCTCTGCTTGTGCTCAGTCTCCAACCGCTGAGCTGGGCTAAGACCACAGCAAGAGGAAGGGTCTCAGTGTTCCTTATCAGCCTTGACCAGGGCTGGGGGCAAGGGAGCTGCTTCCCTTTAGCAAGACCCCTTATCTCATCCTGCCTGCAAGCCACTCTGCTTTCCTTCTTCCCTGCTGATGGGGAAGTAGGCCACAGCACGGAGGCTTCCACTGGTCGTCAGAAAGACCAATCTTGAGTACTGCTCAAAGGGTGAGGCAGCTTAAGAGGCTTCAGAGCAGAGTTTCTCAAGCTGAGCAACTTCAGTTACCCCCACATTTCAACTTTAAGCAGGATGGACCTCACGTATGGCTGGAGAATTCTGGGAACTAAAGTCAACCCCTGTCTTAAAGTTGTCAAGGTTAAGAAACACTGCTTTGTGGGAATGCCATGAGAAACAGCCCCGACATTAGAGAAGGATTGGTCTTTCTGACGACCAGATAACTGTCTTCCAGTATTTGAGGGACTGTCACAGAGAAGAGGAGATTGATTTATTCTCCAAAGCATCTGAGGGCAGGACAAGAAGTAAGGGGTGGAAGATCATTAGATAGAGATCCAACCTAGAATTAAGGAGGAACTTCCGGACTATGGAAGCAATTAAACAATAGAACAGCTTGCCTCCCAACATTGGGTGCTCCATCACTGGAGGTTTTCAAGAAAATATTGGACTACCATTTGTCCAGGATGCTAGTATAAGGGCTCTTGCCTTAGGCAGGGGGCTCGACTAGAAGACCTCCAAGATCCCTTCCATCCTCACAATTCTATGTTTTTCACAGAGGTTGTGCCACAGATGAAACAGGAAGACCCCTAGGCCCTTTCTACCTGCAGCATCTTCCCCCGTAGAAGAGAACCCAGACCTTCCCCAGAGAAGACCCCAGCCCTCACCTGTAAAGGGCAGCTTCCCAGTTGCGATCTCCCACAGCACGATCCCGAAGCTGGAAGAAAGGAATGCAGCAGCTGTCACACAAGGAGGGAGAGAGCTGGCAGCTCCTTCCCCACCATTATCAGGAATGGGGATGGTCCATCTGAGTATGCCCTGCTGGGCTGAGGACACCTTGGCCAGATTCGCACAATACTATTCAGTCTCCAACCAAACAAGCCACATCATGATTCTACTGAAGGCTTTTATGGTTTTCACATTTTGCAAAGCTAGCTAGCAGTGGCTTTTTCAATAAACCATGGCTAAGCAAACTGCTAATGTGTTGCGTAGATGGAGCCACTGTGGGATTCGTGGCCCGTGGCCCCACCTTGAACGACACCAAGGGTACGTCATGGCATTTTGTCCTCTATGACTTATGAACTATGACCTATTATTTGCTGTTTGTATGTACACTGTGAGCTTATGCACTGCAGATACATTCCTTGTGTGTCCAATCACACTTGGCCAATGAAGAATTCTATCCTATCCTATCCTATGTTGTGCATACACAGTTATTGGAATTTAGCCAAGTCATGGTTAAAGAAATTTAGTAGGACATCTGAACTCTGCCACTTCCTCCTTTCATAGTTGCTCACTTAAGGGAATCTCCAGAAAGGAAACTGGGGGAGATTTGATGCCACAGAAATTACAGACATTCGGCTTCTCTTCTCAAAGGGGTCCCTGGAGAGATGTGCCTCAGCAGGGAGGGGCACATGTTGCCATAGATCCCTGACTGTGTGCTTCCTGGCTGTCTGCGCACACACTTAACCTTGATACTGAATTAACCCATTTTCACAATACTGTGAATTCCAAACAAATGGAAAAGGCTAACCCGCATAGAAACATGCATACGCCGGCAATCCTAATCCACTTTAAAATTAATCAAGTTTAACAGGACCTAGAAAGGCAGAATTCGGTCTGAAACTGACCCCGTTACACCTAGGCCATTCTGAGCTCCAGACAACAATGTGTTGACCCAGCACAACTCTTCATAGCTGCGAAGAGGCAGAGAGGTGGTGGCCCAGCAGGACACATACCTGTATATTTCGCTAGCCAAGTTGTATGGATGATGTAAAGAGGCCAGGCCCTCTGGGCAGATGTAGGCTAAAGAAGAGACCTCCCTGGAGACTTTGTCCTTGCTTTTTCGACTGATGGACGATTCTGTTTGGTCCAGTTTAAATCCTGACAACTGAATGGAATGGAGAGAAGGTGAGTTCTCTGCAGCCTGTTTGGAAGTGCATCGACAGCGAATGGAGTTGTGTTAACAGGGAGTCCCTGTAATTCTGACATTCACCCCCCCTAGAGATTCTTTCAAAATCATCCCCATTCTTATACCTCCCCACAATAGTACAACGAGGGCTTAGTTCACTTCAGTGATGGCTGGGTAATGCTAGGAAGATACTGACTCCCTCAAACACAACACAACCTCCTAAGGGCAGGTTTACGTAGGTTTTACTCCCATTTTCTCCAACATAATCTCACTGAAGAGAAATACGAGCCTGCTCTTACAGTTCCACAACAATTAGGCTTTTGTGGTCGTTGCCTTTAAGACACAGTTTAAGTGAATCACTATAGTCGTTTAGTCAGTAACCCAGTTGTTAAGTGAACCTGTTTTCCCCATTGACTTTGCACGTCAGAAGATCGCAAAAGGGGATCACATGACCCAGGGACACTGCGACCCTCATAAATGTGAGTCAGTTGCCAAGCGTCCGAATTTTGATCACGTGACCACGGGAATGCTGCAACGGTTGTAAATGTGAAAACCATCATAAGTCACCTTTTTCAGTGCTGTTGTAACTTTCAAACGGTCATTAAATGAACTGTTGTAACTCAAGGACTACCTTTATAGCATAGAAACGCTACATGCAGACCTCACCTTTACGCAGTAGCCCTTGGCAACCAAGAATTTGGAACTGTTGATGCAATGATGCAGTTGGCATTTGTCTCCTGTCTGGTGCAACCTGCAGCCAACAAAAAGGAAGAGCTTCATCCGGTTCTTACGTACAGTTTATAGCAATAGCAACAGCACTTAGACTTATATGCCACTTCACAGTGTTTGCAGCCCTCTTTAAGCGGTTTACAGAGTCAGCATAATTGTCCCCAACAATCTGGGTCCTCATTTGACCGACCTCGGAAGGATGGAAGGCTGAGTCAACCTTGAGCCAGTCAGCATTGAACTCCTGGCAGTCGGCAGAGTCAGCCTGCAATACTGCATTCTAACCACTGCGCCACCATGGCTCTTAGGGGCAAGACTGGCGGGGTCCAAGAAAAGAGCCTTTCCTGCTGTGGCCCCCACCTCTGGAACATTCTCCCATCAGAGATGAGATCTGCCCCCACATTCCTGGCCTTCCAGAAGAGCCTAAAAACATGGCCCCACAACAAGGGCCTCCTGCAGTGGGCCTGGCTGACAGGGCAGAGAAGATGCACATCGTCTTGGTTCTTAATGTTTAATCTTTTTATTCTAATTTTAATTGTTTTTAAAGCACTTTTTAACTTTTTGTTATATTGTAAACTGCCCAGAGTTGCTGTATTAGTGAGATGGGCAACACTGAATTTTAATAAATAACTTAATTTAGTAAATTTAATAAATAAATAATATTTCTCCCCGCCAGCCACACACACCTGTACAGCCCAGCGGCCGCATCCGAAGCCATGTCGCTGCGAACCTTCCAGGGCAGGTCTTGTTCCTTTCTCAACACTTCCCTCAGGGTGCCTTTTTCACAGAACTCGGTGACGATGGAGAACTGGGGGACCAGCCCTGAAGGAACAATGATCCTCCATGAGTGGATGCTACCCCTGGGAATCTTTCCCACTTAGCTCTCCTGGCCCGGATACTTCATCCCTCAATCTATGAGATTCTCAGTCATCCAGGTCATGCTTGTCCCAAAGATGCTTCTTCACGAGGCAACTGGTTGTAAGTCGAGGATTACATAGCTGGCTGGGGAATTCTGGGAGATGAAGTCCACCCATCTTCAAGTTGCTAACTCGGAAAAACATCAAGTTGGAATGAAAAATACACACATCTTGCTGATGCGCAAGAACAGGTTTTGTGCAAAAAACTATCTGTGGCTGTGTTAACCTCCTTGCTGGAAGAGCTGAGGCTAAACGGCGGTGCCTGTAAGAGCCTGCCCCTTGCGTTCGGACCCCCGCCCAGGGCTTTCCACAATCTGTTGAAGAGCTGGGTCTGAAAAGCCGGCAATAAACCTTGCAATTCTGCCAATAGGGATTGATGGCACCATTATTACAGCCTCTCCTCACGTCCCCTTTTCTGCAGAAAATCCCTCCCCTTCCTCTGCACAAAGAGACTTCATGACTTGGTTGCATCAGTCCTCGGCATATATCCATTCGTTTAGCGACTGAAGTCACAACGGTGCTGGAAAAGGTGACTTATTATGACCATTTTTCACACCTATGACCATTGCAGCATCCCCACGGTCAGGTGATTTACATTGGGACGCTTGACAACTGGCTCATATTTATGATGGTTGCTGTGTCCCTTGGGGTCACGTGATCGCCTTTTGCGACCTTCTGACAAGCAAAGCCAACGGGGGGGGGGAGCCAGGCCCACTTAGCAACTGGCAAAAAGGTGGTAAAATCCAGCATGGCTCACTTAAAAAAGCCATGGAAATTCTGGCCCCCTAAGCCAAGGACGACCTGAATCCATCCCGCTTAGCCGCTTCTCAAAATCCAAGGCCAGCCCCCACAGGCCTTACCGCTTTCGTCAATGCAGATCCCGTACAAGCGCACGATGTAGGAGGACTCCAGCCTCTTCAGCGTCCTGATCTCCTCCTCAAAGATCTGCCTCACCTTCCTGGGAGAAAGCGAGCACGGTCAGTTTTCGGCAGGAGCCGCTGGCCTGGCCCCCAAGCCCCACCCAAGGAGAGGGAAGGATTTGCAACGGTGAGGTAGAGATATACCAGGGGTAGGCCACCTTGGCTCTTTGATGACTGGTGGACTTCAACTCCCAGAATTCCTGAGCCAGCCACGCTGAGGGGAAAGGGAGAGGTTGCCAAGCTGAGCCATGCTGGCTCAGGAATTCTGGGAGTTGAAGTCCATGAGTCATCAAAGAGCCCAGGTTGCCTACCCTTGAGATACACTTTTAATTCAGAGTTGTAATGGACCACAGCAGAGTTATTATGATGGCTAGCTGAGCTTTCATTCCACCACCACCACCCCGCTCCTCTTGATTTCTAAAAGCAAGGAGAAGCATAGTAAAGGAGAAGAGAAAATGGCTGCATTTTCATCAGTTGTCAAGGTGGGAGCATCCAATGTTAGTAGCGTTGACATTAACCACCTCAAATTGACTGTTCAGAAAGACAGCCTTCCCCAACTTCAATGGACCAAGGATAAAAGGGGGAGGTGGGAACAGGAGGGATAAATGACGTGAAAAGAAGAAAGTGGACATAGCAGCTGGAGGAAAAAGTTGGCTGAATGTTTTGACCTGAATAGAAGGTTCTCCCACCATCCCCACCATCATCCTTCACTCACTTTGTGTTGATGGTCACGGGGTTTTTGAAGACTTTGACGGCCACCGGACTTCTGTAATATTCTCCTTTGTACAGGATGTGATCTTTCATCTCCAACAGAAAGGTCATCTTTGTTAAAAAGTGCTTGTTTATCTCTGTGATTTCTGTATGAGCTCCTTCCTGCTGCCCTGGAAACAGGATTGAACAGAACAAAAAGAGAGAAAAAAATGAGGCTAACATCTTACATTTTTCAGTCACAAAAATAAAAACAGCCGAAGGGAGAGAGGGACTTTCCAGCAGCCTCTGAAGAATGAGGAAAAAGAGGTCAAAATGGCGGCTGAGACAGGATGACCGAATATCTGCATGTTTTTATGTGCATTGCATTATCCAATTGTAAGCCACTCAGAGTCACCTTGAGCCGCAAAATGGGTGGCAAAAATGTCTGGAGGGTGGACGTGGCAGTACCTGGAGACAGCAGAAAAGAAGAGAAAGAACTGGAGAAGATAACAAAATACAAAGACCTGCAAATAGAAATAGCACAACTGTGGTGAAAGCAAGCAAAGGTAGCACCAATAGTAATAGGTGCCTTGGATGCAATCCCAAAACATTTGGAGCCCCCTTGAGCACCATCGGTACTGACAAAACCAGTCAACTGCGAAAGGGTTTTGCTTGGAACAGCTGACACCCTGTAAGGATACCTCTAACATCATCAAACATCCATTTCAGACTATCCCAGGTCCCTGGGAAGGACTCGGTCGGTGGACAAAACGCCAAATCCAGTCTGAACATCTGGTTGCCTGTGCAACAAACCATAATAATAACCCAATTACACACCTATCTGGATACCGCTGTAAAAACTGGAAGGAAAAAGGCAAGACGCAGAGGTGTTTTCTTTCAAAAGGCAACCGGACTTTCTTGTTTTGCTTGAAGGTGTTTCGCTTCTCATCCAAGGAGCTTCTTCAGTTCTGACCAAATGGTGGAGAATGGAAGGATTTATGTGCCTTGCAGTCATCTGATCGTTAGTACTCTTTCTGAGAGCTGTTGAGGCCATTTGGACGTTTATCTGTGTCCTCGGGGTCACCTGACTCCTGTGGTCTATGATTTTTTTCTGGAAATCCATCTGAAGGGTGCTTATCCCAAAATGCATCGCTAAATGTTATGAAGATTCTCGGTCATCCAAGGTCCTGAGTGTCCCAAAGGTGCTTTTTCAGGAGGCAACTGGGCTTTCTTTGTTTTTGCTTGAAGACGTTTGGCCTCTCATCCAAGAAGCTTCTTCCGTGCTAACGACCAGGTGACTGCAAGGAATATAAATCCTTCCATCCTCCCCCATTCAGTCAGAACTGAAGAACTGGATAAGAAGCAAAATGTCTTCAAGCAAAACAAAGAAAGTCCAGCTGCATTTTGAAAAGCACCTTTGGGACAACCATGACCTTGGATGACCGAGAATCTCCCTAGAAAAGAAAAGGGCAAGGCAGAATTTTTCTACCTGACACTATTTTTATTGGGAAATGATGCAAAATACCTTCTGTCGTTCTTCTTTTAGATTTCCTCTTGTAGGTTTTGGTGTGCTGGGTTGTCTCTGTGGAGAGGTTCCATCCATCCATAGTGCTAGATTTAAAAAAAAAGTCTTTCCTTTTCCCTTCCAGTTTTCGTAGCAGCATCTATACGTGTTTGTGTGATTGGCAGCCAGTGGCCTAATAGCGGCAATATTCATGTTCTGCATGTTGAATGCAGTCACGCAGTTCTGGCCTGGGTCATCCTCTCTCCATGGTAGGGAATCGTGATGGCCTCTTTTGAAGACAGAGAGAAGCTGCTAAGATCTCAAAATACCAGGAAATGATACTGCTGACTGTTGTCGTGATGCAACAATCTGAATACAAAGGTTGGAAGGTCATGAAAATAGGGGGCCTTCTCCAACTTTAATTTGTGGCCCCAAAAGCATATTTAGATGTGTAAGACTGGAGGCTTTTAAGAAGAGACTAGAGTAGACAGTCACATCTGAGACGGCATAGGTCCTCCTGCTTGAGCAGGGGGCTGGACTAGAAGACCTCCAAGGTTCTCTTCTATTCTCTTCTCTTCTCTTCTATTCTTATTCCTTTCCATATTCTATTCTATTCTATTCTATTCTCTTCTCTTCTAATTCCTTTCCATATTCTATTCTTATTCCTTTCCATATTCTATTCTTATTCCTTTCCATATTCTATTCTATTCTATTCTATTCTATTCTATTCTATTCTATTCTATTCTATTCTATTCTATTCTATTCTATTCTACTGGCATTTCCAGAAGAAGACAAAACATAGGGCAGCTTTCCCTGGTGAGAATCCCACAGAGGAACCAAACTCCAGAATTCCCACTCTGCATGAGTTAGCATCTTATCTCCCATTGAAGATGCCTCCCCAAACCCTTTATGTAGCTGGGATGCTTTTCCTGACTCTAATTGCTTAGAAACATTTGGAACTTATTAGAGAGAGCGAGAGAGAGCACCCATCCCATTTTTCAAAGGAAGGATATTTCAACAAAAGACAGCCCTACCTTTGGCCATCTCCTTCCAACAAACTTTGTCTTCCGCTAGATCTTGGCAGCATTCCTTGCTCACCACACACTTCTCAAAGCTTACTAGCACCTTCTGCTCCACCTGCAGCTGCAGCAAAAGTCCTTGACCCATGTCACCAAAGCGCTCGTTCAGATCTGCAAACTCTTCCAGCATCTCACCAGCCTTCATAAACCTCTCCAGCATGTTATGGCTATTGTGCTTCTCAAAAAGCTCCTGGGCTTCAAGCAAAAGGTCCAACATGTTCTGCAGCATCCATTTCAGACTGGAGGACAGTTTGCTGATGGACTGAGCCTGGAGGAGCTCAATAGGTCTCAGGAGGGTCTCCATGCGCTTGACAAGGCGCTCTTTCTGCTTCTTGCAGTACTTCATCTGCTGATATTGACCATAGATGATTTTCGCAACGGCTAGAATGCGCTCCATGATGTCCATGGCTGCAAGGACAACCCCATGAACAAAGCATGACTCAACTAGAATGGGTCCTTCATCTAACTCTGTTACAGTAGACAACTTGCAACAGACCACAAGTTGTTTCTTGAAGCCTGTCCCATTTCGTTATTGGAAATCCTAACTAACAAACCATGAGAATTGTAGTTCTACAATTTAGGGAGGAGGCCCTCAGGCCCTCCATGGAATTACACTGAGCAAGCTTCTTTGGCAAGAGTAAACCGCCATCACCATTGAGATTCCCAGTCATCCAGGTCATGGTTGGACACGTTTGCACTACTCAGGTGACCTTGAGGACACAGGTAAACCTCCAAGTGGCCTCAAGGACTAAAGAAAGCAAATGACCAAGCTGTCTGCAAGGAATATAAATCCTTCCATTCCCCACCTTCCAGTCAGAGCTGAAGAAGCTTCTTGGATGAGAAGCAAAACGTCTTCAAAGGAAAAACAGGAAAGTCCAGTTGCCTCCTGAAAAAGCACCTTTGGGACAGCCATGACCTGGGTGACTGAGAATCTCGGTAGACATGTAACCATTTGGTTTTAGTAAAGGCATTCTTTTCACTACAAATGGAGTTGAGAGTCCTGCTTTCCTAGAAGACCAAGCTGGGGCAAGGCTGCCATCCATATTAATGCCAAGAAAACTTCAGACTGGAAGAAGATAGTAAGAACTGAAGTCAGCTCGAAGTAAAGCCTACTTTGGCATAGCATGGGATGCAAGGATAGCATTATATCTTGGGGCAAGTGGCTTCCATGAAAAGTCTAATGCAGGATGTGAGCAGGTCCTCTCCAGCTCTTCTCCACTCAGTTCCTCCCCAACTAACAATTTTTGTAAGTTCAACCTGGCCTCAACAAGTTAAAACTGTGTGAGACGTCTCCCTCGCGGGTCCCCTCTTCCCTAGAAGCATCATCATCTTTCTTTCTTTCTCCCTCCACCTCCTCCAGCTTACCTCGTGTCTCTAAGGTGGCTTCTCCTCGTCTGGGTTCAAAAGATGCTTTCAAACCTTCAGCAAAAGTCCTGCAGTTCCTCTTTTCCAGATGTTGGCCTCTACTTCCTGGCAAAGAGTGACGAAAGGGGTTGTGCAAGTTGGGAAACCCCCTGTGCTGCTTAAGCTGTAAAAAGAGTTTCAGTTTCTGAAAATACTCCAAGCTCAGAGGAAGGCTTGTTAAAAATCTGGGCTGAATGATTAAATTTTCATCCTGCTTTTATTACTTGATAAGAGTTGCAAACATGCCTAATATTCCTTCCTCCGGCTATTTTGACCCACAATAACAATCCTGTGAGGTAGATTGGGCTGAGAGAGAGACTGGTTCAAAATCACCCACCTGGTTTTCTTAGCTAAGAAGGGATTAGTACCTTCACCACTACACCCAAATGGCTCCCATTTATGGTTTGTCACACAGCCAGATGTTTAAATTGGATTTAACATTTTTTATCCATCTACCTATCAAGTCCTTCCTAAGGATCTGGAATAGGCAAATGTCGTTTGATGGTGTTAAAGGTATCACAGGATGTAAACTGTTTCCAGTAAAGCTGCCTTTTGCAATTGACAGGTGACTTTGTCAACGTTGATGGTATTCAAGTGGTGCTCCAGATGTTTTAGAATTGCAGTCAAGGTGCCTATCACTTTTGATACTGTCTTTGCTTTCTTTTGCCAAAGTCATTCTACGTCTATTGTCTCTGTATTTTGTTCTCTTCTCTAGTTCATTCTCTTCTCTTCTGCTGTCTCCAGGTAGTGCCATGTCCACTATCCAGATTTTTTGTGTCTTTCATATCGATAATTGTTAAATCTGGAGTGTTATTTTTATTGCCTTAAAATGCCAGAACCTGCTACTGCTGGTTAGTAGCAGGTTAGTGACAATGAGGCTATACACAGACGTTGGAAGCTGTTTAATAAATATTTCAGAATGTGCACGCTGACATGGGTTTGTCAAGAACAGATCATGCCAAACAAATATTATTTCATTCTTTGACAAAGTAACTAAATTGATGGATCCGCAAAATGCTGTGGACATAGTATACTTGGATGTCAGTAAGGCATTCGACAAAGTAGACCACAACCTACTTCTTAGTAAGTTAGAAAAATGTGGGATAGACATCACCCCCAGATGGGTTTGTAACTGGCTGACAAATTGCACTCAACGGATAATCCTTAATGGAACAACATCTGTACGGAGGTTCCCATCTCCCTCCAGCTGATGATCTTCTGTACCTCAGTCAATTTTCAGATCAACTGAGAAACTCCTTAACCAATCAATAACGCTAGAATTTTTGGATCCAGCAGCAGTGATGCTTGGTAGGAGGAGGAACAAAACCGGGGGAACCATCAGTCCTTTGAGTTAGGCTATTTCAGACATGGCAAGGATTACAGGAGTGCCACTTTACTATTATGGAGTATAATAACAGGATCTTGAAAGCCTAAAAGAGTTTTTCTCTGCCTCCTCTTATACCCAACAGAATCAAGAATCAATTCTGAGGGGATTTTTTTCCTACACTTTCCATATACCCAGGACTCATTTGTTATTTTTTTCTCCCTTCTTAGCTCCTGTATTCCTTCATCAAGCTTATTGCACTTTCCTTCCCAGAAATTCATCAATTTTCTTCCTTAAATGTTCTTGCATTAAAACGGGACAAATAGGATGATTCACTGCTTTGTTCTTTAGGCAGAGGAGAATCCGGTGGAGCTGAATTCAGGGGCAGGGGAGATTTAAAAGGGGATGGGGCATCCACCATCTAGGTGGCTTTTTTAAACCCCTTCCCTCCATCCCCTGTGGGATGTCCTTGGTAGAATTTATGCACTTTTATGACAATTCAAGGACTGGAAGATGGCAGGCTTAGCATGAATGTCCACAAGTTATAGTCAAAAGGCCAAGATGGAGACCGGAACGGTGTGTTGAAAGCTCCAGCCATGTTTTATGTCCCTCACAAGCACATATTGTGAATTCACAATTGTAAATTCTTCCTCTCTGCTCCCCCAGAGGACCAGAATCATAGAATCTTAGGACTAGAGGTGATTTTGGAGGTCTTCTATGCAAGTCACTGTCCAAGGTAGGAGAGTTTATACTATGGATGTCAAACTCAATTGCGTCACGTGAAGTATCGTGACGTTTTTTGCCTTTGCAGAGTTGGGGTGGGCACGACGCATCCGGCCTGCAGGCCACCAGTATGACACCATTTCAGACAAGAGGCTGCCCAGTCTCTTCTTAAACACCTCCAGCGATGGAGCACCCACAGCTTCTGAAGGCAAAGCAGTCCCACTGATTGATTGTTCTTACTGTCAAGAAATGTCTTAGTTCTAGCATAGATCTCTCCTTGACACATTTCCATCCATTACTTCTTTTCCTGCCCTCAAGTGCTTTGGAGAATAAGTTGTCCACCCTCTTCTCTGTGACAGCCCCTCAAGTACTGGGAGACAGATATTATGTCCCCCGAATCCTTTATTTATCCCCGTATATCTTCATAAATGATTTAGATGAGGGAATAGAAGGGGAACTCATCAAATTTTCAGATGACACCAAGTTGGCAGGAATTGCCAACATCCCAGAAGAAAGGCTCAAGATTCAGATGGATCTTGACATACTTCAAGACTGGGCCCTATCCAACAAAATGAAAAATTTTAAAAAATAGGGTTTTAGGGGGGGAAACCCCCAAATGTACAGGTACAGATTAAGTAAAACCTGGGTCAATAGAAGTAAATCTGAGAGGGATCTTGGAGACCTAGTGGACAATCACTTAGTATAAGCCAATCGTGTGCGGCAGCAGCCAAAAAAGCCAATGCAGTCCTAAGTTGCATTAACAGAGGGATAGAATCAAGATCACGTGATAGAATCAAGATCACGTGATACTGCTTTATAAAGCTTTAGTAAGACCAAACTTGGAATACTGCATCCAATTTTGGTCACATTATTAAAAAAAGGCTCTGGAAGTAGTGCAGAGAAGAGCAACTAAGATGGTTAGGGACCTGGAGACTAAAACATATGATGAACAGTTGCAGGCATTGGGTATGGTTAATCTAGTGAAAAGAAGTGAAAAGAAGGACCAGGGGTGACATGATAGCAGTCTTCCAATATTTGAAGGGCTGCCCCAAAGAAGAGGGAGTCAAGCTATTCTCCAAAGCACCTGAAGGCAGGACAAGAAACAACGGATGGAAACTTATCAAGGAGAGAAGCAACCTGGAACTAAGGAGAAACTTCCTGACAGATAGAACCATTAATCTTTGTGGGTGCTCCATCACCGGAGGCTTTTAAGAAGAGACCGGACAGTCACCTGTCTGAAATAGTATAGCCGGGAGTTGGACTAGAAGACCTTCAAAGTCCCTTCCAACTTTGTTATTCTGTTCCTTTCCAACACAAATCTTTACTCCAGGGCTATCAGCATCCTGTTTATGATTAAACAAAAATGTGTGCCTCTTAGGCTGCCTTAGAGTCCGGTGGTGATAGTGATAGTTTGAAGAAAAGCCCTGATTAAATGCTTATCAGTCTTAAGACAAAGAACAGTCAGAGGGAGGGGCCAGTGACGCTCCTTAACTCTCTCTGTACACTAGCGCCCCTTCGTGGTCAGACAGGTCAGTCGATTTGTACATTTATGAAAGAAATCGATCCACACAATTGCCTTCACAATTGAAGTTTTTTTTAACAGGAATTTTATTAAAAATCGCGCCTAGCACAATAAAACCAACACAGACTAAACTAAAAAGGGAAAGAAATTGGAAGTGCAGCCAAAAGGAAGTAGGAAAGAAAAAAAAGAGAAAAGAAAATGAAAAAAAAAAGAAAACAAATACATAAAGAAATGACTTCCCTTTCATCACAACTGTTGTTTCACGAGTTAGGCAGTGACAAGGTTTCATCTCAGGGATAGGGAGAGTGGGAAGAGGAGAAGTGCTCAGAGAATCCCGGCCTTCTGATCTGGAGATGCTCCAAAGAAGCAATCTATTTCAGGGATCACCAATCTTGACCACTTTAAGACGTGTGGACTTCAATTCCCAGAATTCCCCAGCCAGCTTTGCTGGCTGGGGAATTCTGGGAATTGAAGTCCACACGTCTTAAAGTGGTCAAGGTTGGTGATCCCTGATCCTGGGGAAGAGGGACCAGCCCATGCTCCCCACTGTAAATTGGCGGGTTTGTTTTGAAAGAAACCGTTGTTTGCTTCTTTCCCCATCACTGCCCTCTCCAGCATTTTGGCCCCAACTCCACCCACCCACAAGCACAAGCTTCAAAGGGTTCTTTATTGTCAAAATATACATCATCTATGTACAAGTATCTCGTGACTATAGTTTGTATACCACCATCCTTCTTTTTCTAAAATATGTATGCGGTCGACATTAGAAGAAGGAGAAGGCAGAAGGCAGAAAGAAGAGGAACTCAACAGCATCTTTGCAACGGCTTTCATTGTAGATGAGGGATTTCAGAAAAAAACATAGAACTGTTTGTTTCCCAGATGAGGTCAGGGTAGTTAAAGTCCCTTGGCTCTGTTATGACTGGTGGACTTCAACTCCCAGAATTCCTGAGCCAGCCATGCTGAGGGGAAAGGGAGAGGCTTCCAAGCTGAGCCAGGCTGGCTCAGGAATTCTGGGAGTTGAAGTCCACGAGTCATAAAAGAGCCAAGGTTGCCCACCCCTGGGTTAGACAGAGTTCCTCTTTTTCTAACATCCTTCCTTTCACCCACAAAATCCAGCACCAGGAACCAGAACATCTAAGATCCAGGAGTCCGTGGCGAGTCATGTTCTCCCACAAGATCTGGTTCGATGTTACATGGATAAATTCATTCATTTATGTTACAAATAAATTTGGGTGCTTTGAAAGGNGGTTGCCCACCCCTGGGTTAGACAGAGTTCCTCTTTTTCTAACATCCTTCCTTTCACCCACAAAATCCAGCACCAGGAACCAGAACATCTAAGATCCAGGAGTCCGTGGCGAGTCATGTTCTCCCACAAGATCTGGTTCGATGTTACATGGATAAATTCATTCATTTATGTTACAAATAAATTTGGGTGCTTTGAAAGGGAACTGAGTGGTAGGTACAAACGTGGAAAGATTTGGCATTATCCATAATGAGGGAATAGCTGGTGAAGATGATGGAACTTGCTGAGATGGCTAAATTGATTTCCTCAATCAGAGAAAAGACATTATCTGTTTATTGCTAACTGGAAAGTCCTTACAGCCTTTTTGTGTAAAATAGAAAAAAACTGAACTTACGATTTATGGCGTTGATGATTAGGATACATTATAGAAAAAAAGAGTTATGTTGTAACCATAGAATAAATTTTATAACCATGCTTATAACTGCTGTAAAATAGATCAGAAACTACTTCTTTGTATCTTTTTTCCTTTTCTATTTTTATTTTACTTTTTCCCTTTTCCTGCACTTTTAGCTTTCTCTTTGATTTCTTCGTTGGTCTTTTTCTCACTCTATATTAGTTTGAATTAGCTTTCACGTTCTTTCTTTCAAGAAAAATATTTAATAAAATTATAGCTAAGTAAAAGGAAATAAAGCTGAGCAGGATTTCTGCTCTGACATCTGTCTCTGACTATGACGCTAAGACACAATTGGCCCTCTCCCCACTATTTGCTTCTTCACAGCTCCGGGGTGTCTTCAGGCACTCCTCACCCCTCACACCCCCCACCCCAGAACCCCCAAAATAAGGCCACAAAAAGCAGCAGGAAAAGGAGACTCGGTTCTCTCCCCAGTCCAAGTCCGAGGGCTGTTCCAGGCCCTGCAAAGTTCCACCAAAAACAGCCGCCGGGACTCTCCTTGCAGCACAAGGGGCCAGGCAGGAACAATGGACGCTAATCGCGCTTTTCATTTTCTTCTGGAATCAGCGTGTGGAAGGGATGGTCCCAGAATCGGCTAGAAATCCCAAAACCTGCAGGGTGCAGAGGGTGAAAAAAGAACATGTGGGATAATACAGAATAACAAGAGTTGGACCTTGGAGATCTTCTAGTCCAACCACCTGTTCTAGCAGGAAACCCTATACCATTTCAGACAAACGGCTGTCCAGTCTCTTCTTAAAAACTTCCAGCGCTGGAGCATTCCCAACTTCAGGAGGCAGGTTGTTCCACTGGTTAATTGTCCTAACTGCCAGGAAGTTTCTCCTTTACAGTTGTAAAGTGAAAGGATCCGTTGTAAGTCACTTTTTTCAATGCCATTGTAACATCAAATGGTCACTAAATGAATAGTTGTAAGCTGAGGATTACTTATATGCCTTAGACTGTGGCTGGCCAAACCACGATGAGTTTTGAGGCCAAGAACTGCCAACTTTGGGGAACAGCGTGGGAAAAACGTTTCCAGCATAGAGCTCAGAACATGGTAGCAAAGTAGAAGATGCCCCATGTCTAAAAACATGACATCCTTGACTTATGACCAGAAATGAAATTTCCACTGCTAGGAAAGACAGTTGTTAAGTGAATTTTGCCCCATTTTACGACCTTCCTTGCCACATTTGTTAAGTGAACACTGCGGGTGTTAAGTTAGTAACACGGTTGTTAAGTGGAACTGGCTTCCCCGTTGACCTGGCTTGTCAGGAGGTCGCCAAAGGGGATCACATGACCCCGGGACACTGCAAATGTCATAGATACGAGCCAGTTGCCAAACGTCTGAATTTTGATCACGTGACCATGGAGATGTTGCAAAGGTCGCTAAGTGTGAAAAATGGTCATAAGTCCCCTTTTTCCCCATGTCGTAACTTCGAACAGTCACTAAACGAATGATTGTTAAGTTGAGAGCTCTCTGTACTGACTCAGCTTGGCTTCTGGAAGCTCAGATGCTTGAAAGCAAAGGAAGAGAGCCCAACGGCCGGCTGCCTCCTTCAACCCCTCCCCTCCCCTCCCCTCCCCAGTGCCCATCCTCACCTGCTTTCTGGTGTTCAAAGTGGTGCTTGATGTGATAGATCTTCAGACCGTGGAGGTAGGTGCCTTCCTTGGGCGAGCCGTAGTGCAAGTAATAATGCATCATGTCGTAAATAACGTAGCCAAGGATTCCTCCACACAGGATGGAGTGCCCAAATTCTCTAGGGGGAGCCAAACCAACAAGAAAGTAGAAGAAGAAGACGACCAGGGACGCTGGCACAGGTGGGAAGACCAGGCGGGAGCTGTCGAACGGGGACTGCAAGGGAGGACAGGGGGAGAAAATGAGACCTCAGCAGAGAGAACTGTGGGCTTCTCAGCCTCTGCAGCTTGAAGCTGTGTGGACTTCAACTCCCAGAATTCCCCCAGCCAGCCATTCTGAGAGTTGGTCAGAATAACAGAGTTGGAAGGGACCTTGGAGGTCTTCTAGTCCAACCCCCTGCTCAAGCAGGAGACTGTAGTCTATACCATTCAGACAGGTGGCTGTCCAGTCTCTTCTTAAAAACTTCCAGTGATGGAGCACCCACAACTTCTGAAGGCAATGCTCATTAATTGTTCTCCCTGTCAGGAAATTCCTCCTTAGTTCTAGCTTGTTTCTCTCCGTGATTAGTTTCCATCCATTTGCTTCTTGTCCTGCCTTCTGGTGCTTTGGAGAATAGCTTGACTCCCTCTTCTTTGGGGCAGCCCCTGAGATACTGGAAGACTGCTATCACCCCTTCTTTTCCTTAAACTAGACATCCCCAATTCCAGCAACCGTTCTTTATATGTTTTAGCCTCCAGCCCCCTAATCATCTTTGTTGCTCTTTTTTTTAAATGTTTTATTGATTTTCTAATTTTACATTTAAGTATTTAAAAAGCAACGTGGCGGCTGAGTTAATCGATAATTCAATGACATACAGATATCTTTAGTACGAGTCTCAAACTACCACATTAAATATTTCCTCTCTTTTCCCCTTAGTATTTACTGTCTCATGTTTAAACTAATACAATTCTTATTATATCAATTAAATAAAAATAACATTCTTAAATTTATCAATAATTTTTAGCTTATACATATCCTGGTTATTTTAACATTCAGCCTTTAAAGACAATCAATGTCCTAATTAGTTTTTCCCAATTTTTAGTTTCCCATTCATATTTACATTTAACATTTAATATTTATACTTTCCAAGTTTTAAGTAACCAAAGTTCCCTTTATCCTGCAAGCCAACATCTTGACTTTCTTGACACCCCCCCAGTGAACATTCCGGCACTCGTCTCTAATAACCTTGCATTGGGGGTTCTATCTGAAGCCAAAACTGTGACAAATAGGACTTCTTTTTGGGTGGAAATGGAAATGGGTCCTTTGTTGCCCTCTTCCCACCCAGCTTAGGCCTCTGGATAAAATAGATGGGTGGAAAAGGTGCTGGCAGGTAGCACCTGCTACCAGGTGCTAGGAGGGAGGGGTACGCCCTGAAAAGAACAGCAAGTCCTGTAGATACCTACCCCCCCCCAGGGGCTACGCGGTGTACCTTGCTCTCCCCATACAGGTAGAGAGGCAATTAACGGGAACAGTGACCCAGCCTTACTCTGCCAAACCCAGGTGCTAGGAGGGAGGGGTGCACCCTGAAAAGAACAGCAAGTCCTGTAGACACCTACCCCCCCCCAGGGGCTACACGGTGTACCTTGCTTTCCATATACAGGTAGAGAGGCAATTAACGGGAACAGTGACCCAGCCTCTGCCAAACCCAGCCTTAAGTAATCTGAAGTAAACCTCAGGAACAGATTGGGAGAGAACAAACTGATTCTGTTGGGCAGAATTAATTGGGCAGAACTTTAATCGGGCACAGAACATCTTGAGATTCATCAAGTTGGCCGTGACTTTTCCACAGCTGGCAGTTTTACAGTTTTGGAAGTCCTCTCCAATGCGCAACGCTGCCGGGCTAAGCCTCCCTTGGGGCTGCTGCCGAGCTGGGTTGCCCCACCAGATGTTGGGTCACCCCAAGCTGCCCCCACCCCAGTTGTCCAGCCCCCACCCCCTCCCTACCTTATGATGCTGGCCGTGCAACAGAAAATGCAAGGTAATCAGGTAGTACTTGCTGGCTGGATTCATGTGGAAGAGGAAGCGATGAATGAAATACTCCAGCAGGGACCAGATGAATACGCCCAGGAGGAAGAGCAGTGGGAACCAGGACTTGTGAACGGGAACGGCATAGGCTACGCAGAGGGCAGAAAACAGGCAACGGGTGAGAGCGGGAACGGCCCCCTGAAGCAGAGCACAAATCAGTGAAGACCTATCCAGCCAGGCAGGGGTCTTGTCTAGGAAGTCCAGAAACAGGACATGAATGCAATGCTCTGCTTGCCCCAGCCTCCGGTAGCCAGAGGTAGACTGCTCATAGAGAGGGAGGTTCAACTGAGCTACCACATGCCTCAAAGCAGGGGAGACACCCCTCTCTGCTTTGGCTCTGCTTCTAAACTCCAATCAGAGCCATTTGGTCTTCAAGGGGGCCTGACTGGGTTCTCCTTCAGCCTTAGGATTGTGTTGTGGCTCCGTCCTGTGGGTCCCTCTCATCGGAGGAGGAAGGCTCTGAACATGAAGGAGAGGAGATGGCCAGGCCTCCCTCTCCAGGACCTTCCCCTCTGGTGTGGCCTTCGGTGCCTTCCGACGGAGAGGAGATTGGCCAGGAGCCAGGTGCTTCTGGGATTGGCCAGGAGCCAGGTGTATGGACTCCGAGGAGGATACGTCTTGGCTGGATCCACGCCAGCGTCGGAGGGACAAGCGTGCGCAGCAGCTAAAACGCCGTGCCAGAGATTTCAGCTGAGTCACTGGGCCACACCCCACAGGCTATATAAGCAAGGGGTGTGCCGTTTGAAACTCTTGTGACGAACAATTTTGCTGAATCTTATGTTGCAGCACTCCGGCAATTATCCTGGACTTGTCTTGTGTTTGTATTGTGTTATCAGTAAAGGTCTTGGCAGGCAGCCACGGAGTTGCTGCCAAGTGTTTATCTGTATTTGGCAGTGCTGAGCAGTCTTTTAGCCCTCGGCTGACTGGTTGGGGTGTGTGAGTCGGACGGGGACAGAACAGATTGAGTCCCACCATGCAAGCTCTACTGGGCCTTGTTCCATTCCCAGGATGAGAACGAATAATGCTGCTAAATGTTTTTTTGCTGCTGGGGATCAGAAAAGGCTGGTGTTTGGGGGCTTGGGAATCTGGACCTTCGTCAAGCAGAGGAAAGGGAGGTGGGTGGCCCTCCTGACCCCTTCTTTGCTCTCCTGTAGGGGGCAGCAGGGTGGAAGGCAGAGAGCAAAACCTTTGATTCTCAATGTGGGAAATCAGGCAGGGCAACATAGAACATAGAGTAATAGATTGGAAGAGACCTTGGGGGTCTTCTAATCCAACCCTTGATCAAGAATGGAGACAGCAGAGGGCCTGGGAAGTAGCTCAACGTGCTCTCCTCCTTACTCCAACCACTCTCGCCCAGTTAAGTTTTGGAATCCCTATTTGCAAATACCTGGGAGCCCGATGGTGCTGGATGCAGTTGGGAGTAGGCAAACAGCCAGTTTGGTCTAATGGTGAAGTCGTTAGGCAGGAAACGGGGAGACGGTGAGTTCTAGTCCCGCCTTAGCCATGAAAGCTGGCTGAGTGACTTTGGGCCAATCGCCCAACTGCATCCAGCACCATCGGGCTCCTAGATATTTGCAAACAGGGATTCCAAAACTTACCATGTCTCCATTCTTGGTCCGCCAAGTGTGGAGGGAGTTTTGTGTGGAAAAGGTGCTGGCCAGCACAGAAGCCTCACCTGATGTGGAGAACAGCTGGGTTTCCCCTTGGGCCAGAGTGGTGTAGCAGTGCCAGCTGAGGAAGAATATTACCGGTAGCCAGACTAGGCAGACAATGTACCTGGAAGAAAAACAAGGGTCAGACTAGTTTTGGATTTGGGACGCATCCTGTGATACAATGAGGCTGACGCAGCTTTTTCAGATTCTACACTGAATCTGTACACAGAGAAACTGGCAGGACGACTTCTCTGAGTTTCTTCAGGGGGAGGAGACAGTCATGCACGATTTCTCCAGGAGAAGATTTCCCCCCAACAAGACCACCATGACTGAAAAGGCCAAACGCAAAGCCTTCTCTCCTGGCTGTGGGATTTTTCTGGAAGCCAAGGGGGCCGTTCACTACAGGAGCCGCCAGGTTGGCTGTTCAAAGAGTCCTGGAGCTCCACTTCCTCCTTTGGAAGGAAAACCCACTTACAGCTGCTTGAAAAAAAAGTGGGAGAAAAAAGGCGGGAAAGTTTCTCTGCCCAGATCAGCTGTTGCTTTCCAGGCTTTGGGCCCCACCACTGTGAAAGATCTTGGGGTTTTTTTTTTCCCCTCCCCTTCAATCACGTCTGATTCTCAGAGACTGCCCAGACAAGTCCCTGCAATTTTCTTGGCAAGATTTTTCAGAAGTGATTTGACTCAAGGTCATCCAGCTGGCTTTGTGCCCAGAACAGGATTAGGAAGTCAGAACGGTCACAGAAGGCGGCAGCACCAAGCCACCCTCAGCTGATCTTGGAAACGCTAAACAGATTCAGAGCTTGAAGGGGAGACCAACAGGAGATGTCAAGACAACAAACAGGATTAGGAAGTAGGAAAAAAGCAGCCTGATGGGGTCCATGCAGTCCACAGAACCGAGCTTGACTCTGCTCTCCCTATATCAGGGGTGGGGAACAATGGCCTCTTTATGACTTGTAGACTTCAGCTTCCTGGCTGGCTCAGGAATTCTGGGAGTTCAAATCCACAAGTCATAAAAAGGCCATTGTTCCCCACCCCTGCCCTAAATGAAGCTAGCCCTTCCACCCTGAACCAGGACCAGTCTCTGTGCCGGAAGAACTTTTCCTGTACAATTCATCCCCAATCCAAACCATTACTAGGCCCTACTCAACAGCTAGGACTTGCTTTAAGAAACAACACCTGCAATTCCAAATGTGTGGCTGTAACACCTTTGATCTGATCCTCAAATCTGGGGCTTGGAGGGCACCAGAGGGCTGGGCTGGGGGCTGCTCTAAAAGACAGGGGGGCTTAGCCCTCCTGAACACAGCTTGGGACCCTGCAAGCTCTTTCACAATTGCCCTGGAAGTTGTCATTTTTAATGAGGCACGAAGGGGGTGACTGTACAAAAGACGGGGTGGTCTCACACAAACCAAACTTCACTGAAAGTCAACTTTAACTAGACCCTGATCTCCAGTGATTTGCCACAATCAGGGCAACAGGATCAAAGTGACTGGTCTTCTTCTGGCTTTTTAAAAACTTCTGAGTTCTGGTGGTCCTCATCCAGATACCAGCCAAGGCCAAGTCTGCTTGGCAATTGAGATCAGCCATGGCCAGCTCAGTAGCCAAAAATGAGACGGTTTACAGAGCCAGCCTATGGCCCCCAACCATCTGGGTCCTCATTTTACTGACCTTAGAAGGACGGAAGGCTGAGTCAACCTTGAGCTGGTCAGGATCGAACTCCAGTGGGCAGTGAGTTTGCCTGCAATGCTGCATTCTCACCACTGCGTCACCAAGCTCTTTATCTTGGCCAGGCCTACTTTTTATTCCACTTCTGCTTTCTCGGGACACTGTTTGCACCACTGTGTCTTTGGCCTGCACCCACTGCACACTCCTGCCCCACCTTTGGCCCCTTACCACGTTGTCCTGGAGAGGGACTCCATGATGTCCGACTGGAAGAGGCGAATGGGTCGATCCACCGGCTGGTGCACCCATTCATTGTACTTCTCGCGCAGGTGGCCCACCTGCCAAAGGAGAGGCTTTTCCCAGTCCACCAAGTCCTGGAAGGAGAGATGTCGCAGCAAGATCTTTACAAGTGCATCGTCTCAACAGTCAGAGTTATTCTGACAAGGTCTCATGTCAGAAAATTTGAGGAATGGCACCGCAAAAAAGCAGAACTGGTGGGATGCTAAATTCAGGTTTTGGAAGAGCTTCTAAAAATCCCATTTTGGTAGAAATGGTATACAGATTTTCTAACAGTTAGACAGTAAAGAGTGGATTTCCCCCCCTTTACTTATTATTTATTTGCTAAATTTATTTGCTCCCATTTTGCTGTGGGGCTACTCTGGGTGGCTTGATTATATAAGCACTTGAACCCTGAGAATCTCAGCTTAAGGAAACTGGATTTTATTTAAATGGGTTTGCGGGCAAACATAAATTACACAATCTAACAATATATGATCACTCTCTGTTACTCACACATATAAATGCATATAATTAGCTTTGATAACCACCCCAAGTTTTTAAGGCATTGAACTGCAAACCACTGATGGCTGCCAAAGTGAGTTCTGTTTCCACGACGGGGTGTATCCAGAGGGCCCAACACATAATTTTTATTTCATTCTGCCTACAAATTAAGACAACCCAGATAAAGAAAGCACCTTTTATAGTTGCTTGATAAGTATCTTCAGAATTAAACTAGATCATCCTATTACAGCCCACAAAGAAACCAACCTGTGAATAAGCTGGAATGTTTTGGGCTGTACACAGCAAAACCAGAACTATTCTAGATTATGTATTCGTGCCAGGCAGAAGATTCCACAGTAAACTGTGCGAAGCATCATATTTGGGCTTCAAAAACCCGGATCACCACCGAATGGCAGCAGGAAGCTGGGAAAGTCTTCCATCCGTCTTTCTGAATTCTGGATGGCTGAAAGATGGTGGCTGTCACCCTTGCACCACAATTCAGTGGTTAAAATTAGCCTCGGCTCCAGTACAGGGAAGGAAGACTGTTTACCACATCCATTCCTTCGTTATTTCAGGGACAAAATTACCAGAAATCATATTTACTAAACTTTCCTGTTATCAGATCATACGAACATGTCATAACATACCTACATTAAAAGGAGCTGGGCTTCAACTGCATAATATTATCTTTACTTTTACATCCAACCTCCCACGGATGCCGCCTAAAATAACTAAAAGTTCAAGATACGGAATTGGCAGAGAAGGAAATCTGATCCCTGCCAGTTGTCACTCCGTTGTGCATGAACTGGGCAAACTGGGCAAAGGTTGTTGTTGTTTTTTTTTCCCCTCTCTCTTTTTCTGCAGATCCCAGCCCACTTTCCAGCTCCATTGTCTTTTGCTGACTTCTTCTGTCCATCACCTCCTTTGCACAGTTGTGGTTAGATGGAGTCCCTAGCTAGCCCCTTCTTCCTGACATTGCACTGGGGTAGAAAGGCCAACAAGGTTAAGCAAAGTGGAAAGAGCCAGCAATTCCTTGCAACTGCTGAAGAGCAGCCGCGGCTCCCATTGCCAGGGGAAGGAAGAGGAGGGAGCTGTCAGCAGCCTCTGAGCCCTTTGGGGTACCTTGGGGGAAACGTTTTGGAGGTGTTCTCCTGATAATGGATGGACAGAGAGACAGACAGTCTGGAGGCCCTCGGCTTAATTCCTTCCCAACATTCTGTATGCATTGCATTCCACATGCAAGGTAGCTACATTCATTACAACTAATATGATGATGATAATAATAGTAATAGTAATAATAATAATAATAGTGGTGATGATGATGATGATGATGATGATAAAGTTGGAAGGGACCTTGGAGGTCATCTAGTCCAACCCCCTGCTCAGGCAGGAAACCCTATACCATTTCGGACAAATGGCTGTCCAGTCTCTTCTTAAAAACTTCCAGTGTTGGTGCATTCACCGCTTCTGGAGGCAGGTTGTTCCACTGGTTAATTGTTCTCACTGTCAGGAAGTTTCTCCTTAGTTCCAGGTTGCTTCTCTCCTTGGTGAGTTTCCATCCGTTGCTTCTTGTCCTGCCCTCAGGCGCTTTGGAGAATAGCTTGACTCCCTCTTCTTTGGGGCGGCCCCTGAGATACTGGAAGGCTGCTATCCTGTCCACCCTCGTCCTTCTCTTTGTTAAACTAGACTAGAGAATTCTGTGTCAGCAGCATAACAAAGACCTATAAAAGCTTTTATTGCTTTTATGTATTTATTATGTTTATATGCTGCCCATCTCAGCATATAAAGTTCAGCAACTGAGGCATTCAAGACTCCTGCAATCTCACCATCTGTTTGCCAACTCTGGAGAAACGGCCAGTGAGGTGCCCGTGAAGTCACCAAGAATGGAATTTCTCCTCGTGGGAAACTTTCCCTTCCCCAGCTAAAATGAGATTTATTCCACATTGCACATAAATGAAATAAAATTCCTAATTTGCAAGAAACTACAACTTAATGTAATGGAAAACACGTTGTTATTTGATCAAAAGGTGGTTTTTTTGTGTGTGCGGGTGTCCTTCCTGCCTGTCGTTAGATTTGTACTTGGAAATCCCCTCCATCTGACTTACCCAAGAAAAATAGCAGAACTAACTTTATCAACTTTGCAGATCAAGTGACAGGGATGATCTGCACAGGCCCAGCCCTGGGGCATTTGCTGGCTGAATCAGGATTGATCAGCTGAATCAGGATTGATCCTCCCTGTTTATGTACACTTGCCTCCTATTTAAATGGTGTGTCATTACTGTAAACTTTCCGGCGTGCCCTGCAAAACGTACCTTGTGTCAGAGTTCGTTTTAAAGAGCAGAGTTGAGGTGGCTGTTTGCACACACACGACATATCGAGTGAGAAAGGGCTCATCTCATCCTCGTAAGATGCCATGCCCAGCTAAAGCTCCCACTTCATCGGCACAGGAACCTAACACAAAACTAGTTTCTCAATCCAGAGTGATAAAAATTGGTGACTGCCAGATCTCTCCCCCGCTGCTTCTGGGACAGATGCTGTAAGAACCGTGCCATCAATAGGATCTGTGCTTTCTTCTGCCAACTCAAACTCACCCTCCTCCTCCGAATTTGTGTCCAGAGAGAGGTTGGATCCAGGACAATTTGGCTGCTGTAATCTGTTTGAAGGCGGCTGCAGAATTCCAGGACCTGCCTCTCCTCCGTTCCCCTCCCACACCTGTCTCATGGTGGCAGTTTTACTGACCACTCTGCCTTGGGGTGGAGCAGTGGCGGGATTCAGTCGGTTGCACCACTTCGGCAGAACCGGTAGCTAAACTTTTTGTTGCCCAGGCCCAGAATGGACTTCTGGAAGTGGCATCCACACAGAGAACTGGTTGTTCCCATATTTGAATCCCACCACTGGGGTGGCGGCTCAAATGGGTGGGAGGGAGGGAGGGGCTCAAATGGGTGGGAGGGAGGGAGGGAAGGAAGATTGCAGTTTTGTTAAGCAGCCTGCTCTTCCACACTCACTAACCACAATAGTGGAAAAAACTACTCCCACTCAGTTCCTTGGCTTTTCTTCTCTCTCCCTCTCTTTCTCTCTCTCTCATACACACACACACACACATCATTCCAAATTTGATAATATGCAAAATGGAAATGTATCCTAGGACAAAGGCATGATATGCATCTCCACTGATCCACAGCTACTGCTTGAGCACCGGGTGTCATCTGTGCCAAGAGATCTTTGCCCAGACACATCTGGTGGGCCTTCTGAATTGTCGCTCCCACTTTGGTTGTCTCATGGGTGGACTATTACAATGTGTTCTGCATGGAACTGCCTTTGAAGACCACTCAGAAGCTCTGGTTGAGCCAGGATGGAACGGCCCAGCAGTTCAGTTATGGGCCTGCCGCATGCCTCATTATGCCCATCTCCACTTGGCAGCTGCAGTAGTTCCCAGTGAGACTTCTGAATGCACCTAGGATGGTGCTTGTTGCCATTTAGAGGCCCTTCATGGCAGAAGGCCCAGGCACTGCCTCTCTCCCATACTGCTGGCCCATCCTGTTTGGTCTGCCAGAACCGGCACAGTCCAAGTCCCGTCAACAAAGCAAGGGGATTTGGGAAGCAGGCATTTTCTGTTACCCCCCTTATTTTCTGAAGCAGCATCTGAGGGCTCCTTGGTGCTCTCTGAGCTTGCTTGTTTTCTTGCAGATGTTTCATTACCCAAACGAGGTAACATCATCAGGGCTAGTAAGGATGTGGTTTGCTGTCAGTTTATATTCTATGGCTTCTCCTGTCAATGTTGGGCAGGCCAATAGAATATAAACTGACAGCAAACAGCACTCCTTACTAGCACTGATGACCTTGCCTAGTTTAGGTAATGAAAATCTGATTACACATTAGGGCCTTGAAAGAAATGACCCCAAAAGAGGAACGATTAGGCAGTAAACGGAGAGGAGCTGTGGCTGGCAGCCGTGCAAAAACAGGCACCCTCTGCTTAGACTTTCTGCCCAACCTATTTAACACAGTCCTGTTTTCCATTTTGCATTAAAGCATCGGGTCGTGATGTTAGAGGGAGCCTCTTTACCCAACGCCCGTCAGTTGCTCTCTCCCGTCTCCTGAATATTCTGCTCCTGACATCCCGTTTTGGGTAAAAGGCTTTGTATGGATTTCTAATGAGCAGCTTGGATCACCCAGAGTGGCCCCGAGCAATCTTTCTGGAGCTAAAAGCCACGCTTGCTATTTTCAGGCCGACCTATGGGAAGAAGCACACCAATAGGGGTGCCCACAGATGGGCAGAATGATGAAACCACCATCCCACTGTTGTGATGCAAGCTCTCTGTTTCTGTGGCTTTGCATATTGCCATAAACAGGCTTTTGACTCAGTCAAATACGAAAGGCCTGAGGCTGGCTTTCCGGTATGTCATCACCCACAAAGAGGAATGCTAGCTCCATCCTAGCCGTTCTTCTGTTATCTTGCTGCAGAGATTAAAAGAAGATGGAGTGCCTTCAAGTAATGGCTTAGAGTAGGAAGGGAAGGTCTCTGATTTGGCCAGGTAACGCTCTCCAGTCTGAAGTTCCTGCTCCTCTTTCTCCATGACCTTCCTTCCTGTAGGCTAGTCTATAATATGGCCAGTCTAGAGAAAAGAAGGACTAGGGGGGACATGACAAGAGTGTTTCAGTATTTGAGGGGCTGCCACAAAGAAGAGGGGGGTCAACTTGTTTTCCAAAGCACTTGAAAGAAGGACAAGAAAAAATGGATGGAAACTAATCGAGGAGAGAAGCAACCTGGAATGAAGGAGAAAGTTCCTAACAGGGAGGACAATTGATCAGTGGAAAGGCTTGCGATCAGAAGTTGTAGGAGCTCCATCACTGGAGGTTTTTAAGAAGAGACTGGACAGCCACTTGTCTGGAATGATAAAGGGTCTCCTGCTTGAGCAGGGGAATAACAACAACAACAACAACAACTGAAATCAAGAAAAAGATTAGAGGTGAATACATCAAGAGAGTGAAGAAGATATTAAAGTCCAAACTCAATGGAGGAAATACCCTGAAGGCACCTTAAATCTTTCTCACACCTTGAGATCGTGTTAGCAGCTTGGTTTTCCGTCAACAATGGCATCCCACCTTTATCTTTCTATCAAGTGTCTTACCTTCTCTACGTTGACTGATGCCAATCTAGGCTCCCCGGACATGACAGGACCTGAGGCGTCTGACGTGGGGGAGTCCGGTGTCTTCGGACAAGTCTGCAAGAAAAAGCGTAGGAGAAACGGTTCAGGGGAAAGTCTACTTCCTGGGAACCCATTCAGTCCATTTCTGTGGCTGGCAACTTCAATCTGTGATAGGACAACAGGCGTCACAGATTCCAGGCTGCCCAGTTCTATGTGCTTGGTCTCAAAAAAAAAAAAAAAAAAGCCTCGGACTCCCAAAGGTGCTTTTTTCAAGAGGCAACTGGACTTCCTTTGTTTTTCCTCGAAGACGTTTCGCTTCTCATCCAAGAAGCTTCCTCGGTTCTGCTGAAGAAGCTTCTTGGTTCGGAAGCGAAACGTCTTCAAGGAAAACCGTGACCCGGATGACGGAGAGTCTCCGTAGCATCGGAGTCCGAAACTTTTTCTCTTCAGCTGATTCTTTTAAATTAAATTAAATTAAAAGTCTTTGTTATCTACGAAGAAAGGCTGCAGCGCAATTCAGTGGGTATCTCAGCCGCATCCAGAAACAAACCAGTGTACAGATTCATTAACCTGGTCTACGGAATGGTTTGCACAGATCTGAAGGCCAGTCATTCCACCAGTTGACTGTCCTCCCTGTTAGGAACTTTCTCCTTAATTCCAGGTTGCTTCTCTCCTGGATTAGTTTCCATCCGTTGTTTCTTGCCTTGCCTGCTGGTGCTTTGGAAAAGGGGTTGACCCCCACCCCTCTTCTTTGTGGCAGCCGCTCCAATACTGGACTGCTGCTATCCCTGGTCCTTCTTTTCTCCAGATAGTGTTAAAGTCTAAAGGTGGTGTTAGTTTTGGTTTCCTGCTCTGGACTACCTTGAAGGGCTGACAAAGTGGATAGAGTTTTCCAGAGAGAAGGAGCATCTGAAGGAGTCCCTGTACTGAGAGGGAGAGTAATAACAAGACAGACCACCTGGCAGCCTTGCCCAGAAGGAAACAGAGATGTTCCTCAACACCCTGGCCTTTCTACATTGTTCAGATTCTTCACCTTCAGCACTTTGACCTTGAGGAGGAAGTGAATCCCTCAAAAGGTTTCATTCCACGTTTACGAGATGCCCCAAGGCAACCGTCAGAAAAGACGGACATCAGATTTTCTTGGTTGGCAATGTAAGAAATGTGAGGATTCCTTGACCCAAATGATTTGGTTTTCTTTGTTATTGATTTTTAAAATATTATAATATTCTATGGTACGTAAGTATATTCATGGGTAAATGTTTTCATGTTAAAGGTGTGAATTATTTTCAAAACTATGGAATTTGACCTTTTTCTAAGGAACTTTGTGTGTGGTGAAGTTATATTGAGAAACTAGAAATATCCAAACATCAAGGACTGGATTCAATAAAGATATAATTTACCGACGTTTGAAAAGGCCTTTTTTAAACCAATCAAAAAATGATATGGATGTCATGATTATTTTACAAGAATAAACATATGTTCATGATTAATATATTTTGTCATTAAATATCTAAGCTATATTTAGATGACATATAGCTAATATATTATTATTATTATTATTATTATTATTATTATTATTATTATTATTATTATTATTATTATTATTATTATTATTATTATTATTATTATTGAGTTGGAAGGGACTTTGGAGGTCATCAAGTCCAACCCCCTGCTCAGACAGGAAACCCTATACCATTTTGGACAAATGGCTTTCCAGTTTCTTCTTAAAAACTTCCAGTGTTGGAGCATTCTGGAGGCAGGTTGTTCCACTGGTTAATTGTTCTAACTGTCAGGAACCCTCTTGTTGAACAAGAGCCCAGAGATTCAGAGCTGAGCGGAAGACGCATCTGAGAAAGTGCTCCATTTCATTTACTCAAAATATGGAAGAATAGGCAGTTGCAGATGTCTTGCATCTATTAGAGACTTAATCCCATTAAGTCTGCAGAACGCTCCCTGATTGCCAGGCAGAAATGCAAATCCAAGGCAGACTCTGGGACTCCTGAGGGTGTCAAATTACACCTTCTGAATTCTGCCCGTTTTACATGCAGAATATCCCATATTCATTCATAGGCAGGGTTAGGAATGTTTCTGGTCCAAAATCCTCACAGTCAGCAAGGCACTTTAAGAATGAGATAATGGTCTAACTCAGGGGTAGGCAACCTTGGTTCTTTTATGACTTGTGGACTTCAACTCCCAGAATTCGTATCAGGACTGTTTTGCCATTGCCGGCAATGGGGTGGGCGTGGCGGCTTCCGCGTGACCCGTCCGGCCTGTGGGCCGGCAGTTTAACACCCCTGCACTACAGCAAACTGTACTTTCACAGTACAAGTAGTCCTTGACTTACAACAGGTCATTTAGTGACTGTTCAAAATTACAATGTTACACTGAAAAAAGTGAATTATGACCATTTTTCACACTTACGATGGTTGCAGTATCCCCGTGATCACATGATCAAAATTTGGATGCTTGGCAACTGGTTCACATTTATGACGGTTGCGGTACCTGGGATCTTGTGATCCGCTTTTGTGACCTTCTGTCAAGCAAAAACAATGGGGAAGCCAGATTCACTTAACAACCAGGTTACTAACTTAACAAGTGCAGCGATTCACTTAATAACTGTGGCAAGAAAGGTCGTAAAATGAGGCGAAACTCACTTAGCGGATTTTGGGCCCAATTGTGGACGTACGTCGAGGATTACCTGTACTCTGGGCTGGTCTTAAATGAGACTGGAGCATTTGAGGCTGAATGTACGGTAGGAACTCAACAATGTTGGGAGAACTAGGTCAACATTTTAAGCCATCAGAGGGCTCATTTGCTTGACTGTGGACCTCAGCAACTATGGTTTATTAACCTGGCTTTATTATGCAACAGAAATTCAGTCAGCATTTACGCAGAGGAAGAAAACAATGCCCCGTTGATTGTGGCTGATTCTGCGAATTGCAAAAGCAATGACAAAGGACTAAGGCAAGCATTTCTTCCTGATCCTACATAGATGAGTGAGAGGGAGGGGACCTGGCACCCATAACAACAATTAGGCCTTCAGTGTTCGGGAGGGCAGCCTTTGAATTTCAGGTCAGTACATTTCAGTCTCCCCATGCATGCTACCGCAAGGTCTGGCTTCTTCCTTAAATGTCTCATCTGGCAATGAAATGCCTAGGGAGAGACCGTCGGCCACCTCCCTCCTCACTTCATTATGGATCCCCAGGAAATAATCTGAGTAACATGTGGAACCTCCTCCCCACCCCACTCCGAGGGATTTTCAAAGGGAGGGTGATTCCCCAGTCGCTCCCTGGAGGGCTGTTTGGATCTACTTTGCATCTCTGCGGAATTTTAACTGAGAGGAGGGAAAGATCTCCTGGCCTTTTGATCGTGAAGGAAAAGAAGGAGGCTGTTTGCATTTTTCAGCAGGCCAGGCCAGAAACTGGTGGGCCTCAGCAAGGCTAGAGCAACTGATTCCTGAAAAGAAAGCGGAAGGGAATTGACACCTCTGGGTCTGGCCGTTAGCCTAAGGAAAAGAAAAAACAGGGGTGATGGCAGTATTCCAGTATTTGAGGGCTGCCACAAAGAACAGGGCATCCTCCAAAGCGCCTGAAGGCAGGACGAGAAACAACTGGTCAAAGAGAGAAGCAACCTGGAATTAAGGAGAAACTTCCTAACAGTGAGGACAATCAACCAGTGGAACCGCTTGCCTCCAGAAATTGTGGGCGCTCCATCACTGGAGGATTTTAAGAAGAGGCTAGCCCAGGGGTAGGCACCCTTGGCTCTTTTATGACTCGTGGACTTCAACTCCCAGAATTCCTGAGCCAGCATGGCTCAGCTTGGAAACCTCTCCCTTTCCCCTCAGCGTGGCTGCCTCAGGAATTCTGGGAGTTGAAATCTACCAGTCATAAAAGAGCCAAGGTTGCCTACCCATGGGCTAGACAGTCACTTGTCTAAAATGATATGGGTTCTCCTGCTTGAGTGGGGGCTGGACTAGAAGACCTCCAAGGTCCCTTCCAGCTCCTATTCTATATTCTATATTCTATATTCTATATTCTATATTCTATATTCTATATTCTATATTCTATATTCTATATTCTATATTCTATATTCTATATTCTATATTCTATATTCTATATTCTATATTCTATATTCTATATTCTATATTCTATATTCTATATTCTATTCTATTCTCACTGGGAGATGAGAAGGACTCAGAGAGACATCCAGATGTGTATAAGCAAGATGCCTCCGAGAAGCCAACCATTCCCAGAGTTAAAACTGTCCTCTCACTTTGATCCCCATGTTCACAAATCTCATGGCTGTCATCTGGGGCTGCCAATTTTCAGTATTCCAGCTCTGGCTCCAAATCCCTGGATTGTGGTTGCCTCAGTCCAAGGATGGTTCCATGCCAGCTTCATAGCATCGCGTGGCACTTTAACTAACACCCATCCTTGGGACCGTCCCTTCAAAGCCTTAATGGGGCGGAAAGTTAAAAGTGATCGAATATGGAGAACAATGGATCTGATCTCAGTCTAATTTAACTATTGTCTTGCCCTGCACCCCAGCATCCCACTCAGAACCCAGATTTTTAGTCCAGGAAATTTGGGTACCCATCAACGAAGCTCTCAAGTATGATGGATTCATGAGAGATTCCAAATCAAAGCAAACCTTTGCAGGAAGCTAAGCAAACCTGAACCAAGTTAAGAAGCTGGGTGCACTTCATGGTTTGGAAACCACAAAAACTAGGTTCAGACATCATGTTGGGTCAGAATTTGACAAGTGACATTTTGGCTAAATCCAGTGTATGAATCCAGCCCTGGCATCTGCACCCAACGTCCCTGACCAGCTTCTCAAAAGACCACAGAAGACACCTGTCCCCCTCTTTAGAAAGAGAAGGCTGAATGTGCCAGCCCAGCCAAGTTCAATGGCGCATTTGCACAGCACATTTAATCTAGCTATTGCATCAGTCGATTCCCTGTTTCATATCATACCATGTCCCAAATACTGTAAGTGGCCCAAATGGGGTCGATTTGCAGAAGACATTAGATCATCATCACAAACATCACCTACTGTGGGTAACCTTAATCACCCAG